CCCACAAGCCTCCCCTTTGTAGACATGCCCACTTTATGCTAATCCTATGTAGTTTGGGGCAAAAACCATGCTTTTTGTATTGCGAATGTGTTGTGGGATTGTTGTGATGCAACTTAAAAAATGAGACCTTTCTTGACTTTCTCAGTTACCTAACAGCCTGTGGACTGATTTCTATGCAGTGATCAGGGTCGGATTTTCTGCTAAAACTCCAAAGGATTTATGAATATTCCTGAAGTGCCTTCTCTCTGCTTCCCTACAGTGTGCAACACTAGCTAATGTTATAGCTTATAAATTAAGTCCACTAATATCTACAAACAACTGTCACCCACAATCTTAACAAGGCCAACCATGGATGTTAAAGCTAACATTACTGCAAAGCTTGTAAAATACATCATGATATTGTGGTTTTAGCTGGGAAACTATAATTTAATCAATAAAAATCAATGGGTTAAAAAATACCCAGTTTGAGTCAGTGTAAGACTGATTGGGTTAACTTTACCCTGTCTTAGTATTATTCTTTTACAAAACTGCTGGGTTATTTAACAAACTATTATTTTTGCCAGTGTTTGATACAACAAGCTCGGGTTTTACTTTACAGGACCAGTGTGTAGGATTTAGTGGCATCTAGCAATGAAGTAGCAGATTGCAATCAACTGAATGCTTGCCTTCCAAGCATGTAGAAACTACGGTGAACTGCCCTATCTAGAGTCAGTGTTTAGTGTGTCCGTTCTAATCTGGGCTGCTGTAGAAACATGGTGGGGCGTTATTTGAACACGAACCAAAGAAGTGTTCTGATGCTGCTGCAAGGTTAGCAAGATTTATGCAGACAGCAGAACAACATGTAAAGAACAACACAGACAGATTTTTGACAGGGATGAAAAATGAGACACCATTAAGCAAAATGGTTAGTAAAATTCACAAACGCTTGAGAGCAAGATGTCCTTCTGAGCATTTGTGTCTTTTGTTTGTAGAAACTTTTACGCACTCTTTAAGTTGCATTTCTAATTAGTAAAAAATAACATACTTAGAAATATAAAGCAATGAAATCAAGCAATGGAAATTAAGCAAGCCTTGACTTGGAAGTGAGGAGTCTGCCTCTCATATTGTTCATTTGAATTCTTTTTAGAGGCTTGAAAAAGTAAAAGTCTGCAGTATTTCACAAGAGAGCAATGATTGGAGAAAAAAATTTAATTTTGTGTTGCAATTTTTAATGTCTTGTTGATAATCCTGCAGCCCTCAGGGAGGCCTAGAAACCACTGATCAAGATAATAATGTTTTAAAAGTTCAACTTTGCACTTTTTTGTCAGTTTCCCCAATAGTGTTGATGGTTGATAAAAAATAAATTGGTATGCATGGGAGGGAATACGTTTCCATAGGGGGCCATGACGGAGGAAGTCTGAGAACCATTAACATAAATTGGTTAAATTATCTTCTTTCATTTATTCTGTTTATTCATTCAAATATTCATTTTGATTCTACAAAATAGGACATTTGAAGATGTCACCTTGGGTTTAGGAAATAGCCATTTTCACTGTTTTCTGCCAACAAGCTGAAGCTTAATAAATAATGGAAATAACTAACAGCCCTAATTTCAAGCATTCAGTGTTTGACCCCTAGATTTTAGTTCAAGGTTAAACATCCTCTGAACACTTTTTTTTTTAAATGAGCACAGTAATAGCAATAACATTATATAATAAAATAAAAAGGTCGTCGGCTAGATAAACTGGTTCATTATTTTGCTGCACCTAGCTATTCTGTAAATACATTTACAGATTTAGGTTATCATTTACCTTTAAGACTCCAACAGGAACCAATTTTCAGTATGATTCATAGATACCTCTCGGAGACGCTCAAGCTTTTTTTTCCCACCTTAAGGCGTCAAACATCTTATTCTGCCCACCACACATCTCTGTATCTCAGCAGGAGGCTCAGATTGCTGACCATCACAGCCTAGTGATTACCTCTGCAACATTTTCCAGAAATTGTCAGAAATCTCCCTGTGATTCACAACACATTTTCTTTCCTCCATTACCGGTGAGTCCCAAAGTTGGACAGTTACTACCCACGGTGTCTGACGGTCACCACGAGCTCCGTTTGCACCCACTGTTGGTCTGTGTGCATCTGGGGCACACAGATTTACTTTGGTTAGGTCAGAGCAACATCACATTATAAAAATGGTTTTACAAAATGTGATGTAGACAAATAGAAAGTGCAGATTCAGTCTAAATGTAACCCTGAGTGATAAACATTCGGTTTACATACTGTGTTCAATGCAGCACATATGCAGAAAGCCAATTGAATTCATATAGATTGTCTCCTCCTTTGCCGTTATTGTGTTGTACTGCCCTCCACAGTCCACAGTGTGAAACTTATTTTTTAAAAAGTGGCATGTCACAGAAAATATATTTTTCATGGGGGTCTATGTGTTTTATACCCTGCTGTATTTGAATGGGGAATTTCATTTTTGCACTGAACTGTTTTGTGAATGGATTATTTGGTCTTACTGTGATTATTAGTGTCTAGAAGCATTCAGCCTAAGGCAACAGAGCACCGTCTTTGATTTACCACAAAAAGACTATTTTCAAAGGCCAATAACTAATAAGACATCAACCCTTTTCGTGGTTGAACTGCTTAAATTGAAAGTGACTGTTTTTGATACAACCTGCCATTATTTTTTAAAATAACCCCAATTACCAAAAAGACTAAGTCTAATCTATTATCGATAACATTTAATACAGGTCGCTCTAAACTACTATATGTATTGCATATGGAGTGTATAACATTATAAAATATGACTTGTGTGAATAGTAATGTCAACTAATAGTTAATTTGTACAAGGAGCTTTGTTCTTGATATCCCTGAGCTTGTTACCAAAGTGACTGAATGCATCTCGCAGGTTCTTATCGATCCTGGTGGAGCCTCCTGCCATGGTCCTCCTAGATTGCCGTTGCTGTCTGTCTGTCTGTCTGTCTGTCTGTCTGACCCCAACTGGTTGAGACAGACGACCACCCACCTAGGATCTGTCCTAGGTTTCTGCCTTTTAACAGGCAGTTTTTCCTTGCCCTTGTCGCCAAGTGCTTGCTCATGGTGGTACTGTTGGGTCTCTGTAATTAATGTTTTAAAGAGTTCGGTCTAGACCTGCTCTATTTGAAAAGTGTCCTGAGATAACTTCTGTTATGAATTGGCGCTATACAAATAAAATTGAATTGAATCATGTTTAGAGCAACCCATTTTATTTACCTTTGGTATTTTGATATTTATCAGTTATTACTGTCAAGGTTTATTTTATTTACCATGATTTTATTTACAACCTGTTATGCCTCAGCAATGGGGTGGGGGGTTAAAACATAACATATGGAGGGACAGTCATTTCTAGTTTAGTTTTTATAGCACAAGCTGTCCAAGTTCTACACATTGTGGAATGGTGACGAAATTAACAGAGTATTTTACACCTTTCATCTCTTAAAAGGCTCCTACTGCTTGAAGCTCTGTGAAAGTATTACCCCACTTTCTGTCCCACTTGCAGGAACCTCAGCAATCATGTGTTATCTAACCTGGAGGTGCTATTGCTGAAGCAACCAAGAGAAGTGAACTACATTATTTGCTTTAATGTCAGCCAAATGCCTAAAATTTGAACAGTAGCTAGACCTGAAATTATTAGTTTAGGGGTTCTCAAAGTAAGACTGAGCCTCCTCACAGACAGCGTGGTTTCTCCTACAGACTACACAGCCCGTTTTCATTCCCAGGTTGTCAAATACAGATGCGAGCGGTATTCAGTTGGTTGCAATCTATCTGTAGCTTCACCGCTACAATTATTCAGGAAAAATACTTGAAATTCAGTGGTTCCAGCTCCTCAAATGGGAATATTTGTTACGTTTGTGACACTAAACTGACAGTCTTTGGGTTTTGTTCTGCTGGTCAGAGGAAACCAACAAGAGATTGGATTTGTTTCATTCATTTCATTTCAGTCATTTTATTGAAAGAAAATTGATAAAGAAATTGAGAAAATAATCAGCAGATTAATGGGACAATTTGCAGTCCTGACAGTAATATTAAAAACCCAAATTATTGCTTCAGTCAAATGTATTCCCTTATCGGTGGTGTAATTTGTTATACTATTTGTGGTCATAACATTTTTATGGGAGTCCGTCTGTCTGTCGAAGACATTTGGCCTCTCACCAAGCAACTGTTGCATCTAACGTAAGTTCATAGATAACTTGCAGGGTTAAAATAATTACAGGGGGCAGGACAACTTATCATAAGTCCTGGGGAGCAAAACTTCTTTAATAAAGAGCTGAATCCTGTTTAAAATTGACACCTAAACCAAAAGAACAGACCCTCTGAACTATCCAGCCACACTGTTTTTGTTATTGCCTGTTCATTAAAACCTCTGTACAACAATAATTATTTTAAAGTATAACTTTTAAATATGTGGCAGATGCTGTGCCTGCCTCTCCCTTTATGCACGTACGCCATCATAACGACTTGCCCATTCAGTAAAACATTTTGTCCATTAAGCTCACAGACATTTACCGGTAGATGAAACCCATATTACACATAAAACGGGAGACACTGGAATTGTTAGATTGGCAATATCACAGGCAACTAATTAGAAAAACAAGAGTCCAGTCACAGTGCCAGACAACAGATGCAGCATCTCTGTGCCACTGGATGAACACCAACTGTGTACCATAATATCACACATACGAGGTGTGCTGTCTGGCAAAACACGTTTTTTTTTGTCAGATTACAGCTTTATCCCAGTAGGCATCGTCACATTATAGTATGACAGGTAAGGTGATGTGCCCCAACACCTGATTATCTTACACGTGGCAATTCTACAGCACGGTTTTGGCTCACACTTCTTCTAGTGACACGTATGTCGAGTTATAATTAAGCTGTGAATAAACTGATTGTTTCAGGAAAGTAGTATATCAGTGTCAAATTATAAAAGCTGTTTGGACACTATAGATTGTTAGTGTTGTAAACAGGGATAACACTTTAGCTTTTCAGTCATTTTATTTTCCCCATCAGTGATTGGTACCAACTGGGTGTGGTCTAGATGAAGAAATGGTATACAGAAACATTAAGGACTGGAGTCACATCTACAACTTGTTGAGCAAAAGTCTCCAAAGCAAGCAGAAAGCTGTTACAATAAACATTATAAAGCACTGCGGGCCTGATTGAATTTCCTCCACAGATCATTAATTGCAATGTTATATATTACAGTATACTCATTTAAAGTAAAATCGTGATAATGATCATGACAAAGGCATCAGATGGCATATATTATGTGATATGACTGTTCCAGGGTGGGAAAGTAACATTTTAAAATGTGAACATCTACCAGCCACTGACAAATGTTCAAATTCACCAGCTACTCAATAGTAAATCATTGTTTAAAATCTGCCAGCCACTTCCTACCCTACCGCCACATGGGCAGGTCAATTCATTTATGATTATGCAAAGGTTACCCTGGGTGCATCGTGCCATGCAGCTCATGAATGAACAGAATTGTGTTATGTTAGTGTGATCTATTCATTTTGGATAGATAGGCTGTTAAGAGACACAGGGCAGTAAGGGGTAAATCCGGTGTGTACGGTACATTTCTACATAGAATTGTTGGTGGCATTTTCCTTTTATTTTAATTGACAGATGGGAAACAAAGTGAGGATAAGTGGTTTTTTTTTTGCCAGCACTGACTGTTAAAAATAAGATATTTGCACACATTAGTGGGGAAAAAAAAAAAAAAAAAGGGTAAATGCACTTAGGTAAAGGTTTCCATTTTGATGCAGACAGATACTGTTGCAAAGCAAAACAGCAATGTCAGTTCCACACGCCATCTGTAGTAATTCAATATCCTAGCGTTTCTTTCATATTGCCAAACCCCATCACACACCACTGTAAGAGTACAGAGGAGCATTTCATCCAACACAGATTTCATTTCAGTTGTTTCATAAAAGACTAAATGCATCACAACTTTGCCCACATTGATTTTTTTTTAATAATTCTGAAAAGGTAGAACAGCTCTAAACCTACATGTGTAAGACCTACAAAAAAGGCACAAGTTCACAGAACAATTCAAGGCTAAATGTTTGCCTCAGCGACAGCAGAGCAGCTCAGTACGTGGTGGTAAAAAAAGGACAGAAGGTAAACAAATGTCAGAGTGCGCGTTCAGAACAAGTTTGACAATGAAAACAAGTGCCTTAATGCATTATTTAATACCAAAATAAACAAAATTGGCCTTCCAACATCTCAGTCAATGATCCGGATTTATTCTATAAGAGCATTTTAGGGTAGTGTCTGCCATCAAAGCTGTCAACTGCCTTTTGTTCCACCACATGCAATTTCATGTGTCAAGTGGTTGTGTAATCGTACAGTAGTTGTTAACCTCAAATACTGCCAAAACACAAGTCCACACTAATAAGATTTAAAAGTTTACATTTATTTCATAAAGGGCAACACATTCATAAATACTGAGCAGCGCACTGGTACAACCAGACCCATCAAAAAGATTTGTTTTAAAGTAGGCCAAAGCTAATATAATATGCTCTTATGGAAAAGGGATCAAAACCAGTATCTAGGTGACTCTTATGGACGCGGCTTTCAATGCACATGACAAAAAATGTTAAATGCCAATTTACAGTGTCATTTAAACCAAGCAGCAACATGTCACTTAAAACCGCTATTTGATGTTTCAGAGTCAAACTTAAATGTAGGATCCAACTATTCCATCTGGCTTGTGTTCTGACCCAAACCCAGAATGCACTTAGTTAGAATTACTCAAATGTTTTAACACGTTTCACTTCCCACATCTTATAAACAGTTGTTCTAAAAAGCTGGAATATCCAAGCAGGTTCAACAAGTTGGAGAGATAGGTTAAGTCAAACAGACAGTGTGAGCTGATTTGAAGGTTTCTGGCAGACGGCGTGTTGTTAACACATGAAGAAGTCTCCCCCCCAAAGAGAAGGGTGATTTTTTTTTTCCTTTTCCTTCAACGTATACTCCATTCCACAACCACTGTTCATAAATGTGATAGTCCTCCTCCAGGTCCAACGTGATCAGCCCAAATAAGTCACCTACCACACAAGAGCTTGGTAATCTGACAGCATGATCACTATTTTGATGAGTTGATCTGTGGCACATAAGTAGGACTGATCTTTCAAGGACCCAGAGAATCTCTCCCTTATGACTTTTGGCTGGGCAGAGGGCGCCGGAACAGCAAGATGTGTGGCTCTGAGGGGGGGAAGGATAGAACAAGATACACAATATATAAGCAGAGATAGTGATACTTAACGGTTGTGATGTTTTGGGGAAACTTGACTCCTGTTCCATTGTTTTTAAAATGGGGTGGGGGTTGGGGTGGGTTTGACACCTGCTGTCCATATGCTTGTGGTCACTGAATCTATTGAAACATTTACTAATCTGCACCACATCTTTAAATAAGATGTAATTATCAATTTTTCATCTGAAAAAAAGACATCCAGATAGGGTGGGTCTCTTATTGGCAACTAATAGCTAAAAGAAAGTGTTATGGGAAACAAAATATAGGGAAAGTTAAAATACAAGGGGCTTCCACTTTTAAATCAACTCAAGGCTACAGTGCTCAAGTTCAGTTACATGCAAATTTGCATCATCATTGTCATATCAGCAAACACTGTATCATGTGCCTGCTTAGTTTCAGCTTGTGATCATTTTTTTAAATGCAGATTTAGCATGTGACAATGTTGTGTGACCTGCAGGCAAACAATTTCTGTAACGTAAAAAAGCCCAAAGCTGTTTTATAATTGACTAACATCTAGACTTTCTACACTTTTATTTAACTTTCAACATCGTTATCTAGATTAGAATCCCATTTTCATACTTAGTCACAAGGCCTTGGTTATGACTGCTCATCTATTATGTCACTGTACTTCTGTGAAACCCATTAAATCTACAGCGACATGTGTCCAAGCTGAATTTTACATCCAGTGGCCCCATCGGGTCTGTCTTGAACATCGTAATGGTGTCATCTGACTGTTTTAAGTTGTTTGTGCAAAGCAAAATGTCTACTTATGATATAAACTAGACACACACACACACACACACACACACACTTTCATGTATGATAGTTCAGTGAGTTTTCATCTGTGAAGAGTTGTCTGTGACAGAAACAACTAAAACTGCATTTGATAATTATTTAGATATTTAGATTAAGATATTTAGGACTTGTGTTGTTTACTATTGGTATATTTTCACATCAGTTGTTTACATTATCACTGGTTTGAAAACAAGATACCTGGCTGGTGGATCATGTAATGCACCCATCCTTGGCTCTGCTGGACCCCCAGGTTCCTCCACTCGGTCTCCGACATCAAATGGGTCTTGGGTACACGCTTTGCGATCTCTTTGGGTAGCATTACATGCCTGTACGTTAGAAAACGAGGGCGGATATGATCAAAAACACGAACGCGACAGATCAATAAGATTATGACGTATTGTGTCACATAACTGACAACACTTCCTATACAATGCCACCATGGTAACATAGTTTAAACCGCTATAGGACGGCGTTGACACACTGACAACGTGAAACTGCGTGTTATAGGAGCTATACACACCTGTACTCGTACTTGTCATCGTCGTATTTATCAGAGTAGTAGATCTGTTTGTGAGACATGACGGAAACCTGGTGGGGAAGATTTTAACACCAGTCATCTTTCAGAAGCAGAAAATAAAGCAAATTAGCGGAATATATTCAATGTGCCAAGGACACGGCAAGTTTTTGTTTAGTTAGCATCACTAACCGAGTGTGGCTAACAGTTAAGCTAACGCCGCTCAAGTTAGCCGAGAACCAGGCGTTATCTCTTGACAACTTCCGTTTACGTGAACTACAAACTACACGTTTCTGGTGTTGTGTGACGCAGACAACGGCCTCTCAAAGTTACCTTGTGATTGCGAAAAAAAACCTGATGAGAAAAGTAAATTATTCCAGTTTTTTGTTTTGTTTTTTTGGCGTCCAACAGCAACGGGATGTTGACTGCTTCTTTGTTTCCCTCTCGAATGTTTGCGAGCGCGCTCTTCGTCGTTCAAATAGACCTCGTCTCCTCCTATTGGTCGGCCGAGCTGAAGAACTCTTCTGCCATTGGTCGGTTCTGGCCGACGCAGGCTATCGTCGTCGTCGCTACAAAGCCCCCTAATTGGTCAGCGTAATAGGAAAGAAGTGGTAATTTACAGGAAGTGTGCGTTACGATTCAAACATGGCAGACTGTAAATGTATTGTATGATCAGGGACCCAGATATGTTCACTGTGTCATTGTGTATGGATTTTAAGTGTCTTTAGTGGATTTTGACCATGGATAAGTTATAAATTGTTTGTTTGTTTGTTTGTTTGTTTGTTGATCAGGACAGTACGGTGGCCCTGAGGTGCAAATCACAACGGCAAATCAGAAAACACAACACAAAAAGAGAAAACACAACGGCAAATCAGAAAACACAACGACATTAACCAAACCGGAAAAGGTAATCGCTGATTGGACAAAAGAACTGGTCCGTCCTTTGAACCGGAAACACAACACCGGCAGACCTATGCATTCAAGTTGCCAAATCTGAAAATTCAAACCACTAAATAAGGAAAATATTGTATTAATACGTCCATGTTAATGTGGGATACCTAAGAGAGGTAGAAACAGGGGTTCCAATAGTCCATATCTATGTGTTTTCTGATTTGCCGTTGTGATTTGCACCTCAGGGCCACCGTAGGACAGTGCATATTAATAAAGAATGTAAATAAGCCAGAATAAACCAAGAGGCTAGTTTTAATCTATAATCTCTGGTCTTGTGTGAAATTGTGAAGCCTGAAGTCAGTATAAAATCAAGAAACAAGTTTAGAACAATAAACATAATGAAATAAACACACACAAAAAAAAGTTTCCATAAAAATTACCTCTGATTTAAACTGACAACAATTTACGGCTGTTTTAAGAAAGCTGTGGGTTTTTATGATCTATTAAAAGGTACGGGGTAACTTATTATGTCAACAAAAGAAAGTTCTAGTTGCTTCATGCTACACACACACAAAGGTTATAACATCACAGATACGTTTGTATAACATAAAATAGAATTAATAAATCAATATAGCCAGTTATTTATATACAGACACCAAAGGAATAATTATGCAGTGCTTTCTTTGAATTGGCCTTTACGGGAAGGTAAACAGCAGCAACAAGAGAGTGATGATAAAAAAAAACATTTGGTAAACAGGACAAACATGAGTACGAGCAAATTTCTCAAATTGCTCATAAATTAAAATACAAATATCAATATAGTTTTGATTCACAAAAACACAGACACAAATGACAAATGTCAAATGTGCCCAATAACTACTGTAAGCAGCATTTATTACAATTACATTAAGTTGTAAAAGGGGAGAATGGTAATGAAAGTAGGTCAGTAAGCTTGTGGCCTGTATATATTTGACACAGTACATGACTGTGTAATGACCTCACAAAGTCATGTAATAGAAAAAACATTTGTACGGCCCTTCTACACTACTTTACTTGAGTTTATCCTATTTATGATACTTGGTACATGGCTTACTTCTATACGCCACTATATTTCATAAGGGGACATTTTACTCTACTACACTTATTTGACAGTTACTTTGCAGCGACATAAAGCATAAAGTATGATCAGCACAGACAGTATGATGCACTGTCATGGATTAAACCACGCTGACCAGCTGCACAATTAAAATGCTGCTGTCACATTAATTCATGAGTAACAATAAAATAACATAGATAATAATATAATAGCTATACTTTCATTTAGGAGTAGTTTTGCACTGTGGCGTTACTTCTTTTACTCAAGTAAATCTGTGTCCTTCTTAAACCACTGCAATGTACCATATAGACCATAATCCTCTGTTAAGGGCGTGTGTGTGTGTGTGTGTGTGTGTGTGTGTGTGTGTGTGTGTGTGTGTGTGAGTTTGTGTGTGTGTGTGTGTGTGTGTGTGTGTGTGTGTGTGTGTGTGTGTGTGTGTGTGTGTGTGTGTGTGTGTTTGTGTGGTATCTCATTGCATGCAAAAGTATAAAAGTAAATGTGCCTATCGCAGACAAAACACTTAACAGACTCTAATTTTAGAAGAAAAGAAGGCAGATGATGAAATGAATGTCCACACTGGAGCAACCGGAGAGAAGGGGTTGTCCGCTCTGGTAAGTCCCGCACTTCAAATATAGATCTGCAGACGTGTCAGTGTGCGGCTGGTCCTGGTAGCCTCTCCCTTCTGTGTATATATATATGTGTGTGCGTGTGTGTGAGAGAGAGAGAGGGAGAAAGAGAGAGTGTTTGTGCACGCATGCATCCTGAGGCTTAGGTTCACACATGAAGTTGTATTATTAAAAACCAGGGGACGGATCCGCGTCTATCACCTGCCACTTTCACCTGCGGGCGTCAATCACGCTTGGATGTGCGTCGTTTTTTTCCCCTGACACGACACTTCTACCTGATTGGTCCATCCTTGGTTGAGGGGCGGGCGCTCTGCGGCCTCTGCTGAAATGCCATTGGTCGACACGCGGCTTGGTTGACGTGACGCAGCTTGGAATTCCCAAAGTTCCCAAGTTCACGGGGAGAGAAGAGCGTTGTTTCTTACTAAAAAAAAAAAAATACAACAACCCCCAAAAACGTTGTGAAGACAAAAACAACCAGCGACCGAGGTGTTAGCAAGTCGGGTAAATAAACCGTCTTCTTTGTTTTGAATGTGTCGGAGTCGAGCAGGTGTTTGAAGCGCTCGCTAACAGTTTTGGGCCCGAGTGAGAACGCGGAAGAGTGGGAGTGGGAATATTTCAGCCTACCATCCTTTGTTTACCATCATGAATGAACCTTTAATTCGGTTGCTACAACAACCATAGCCCCCTTTAAATTTCGGTCTCTTGCATGTACAAAACAGAAGCTTAAGCGAGCACATTGCTGCCGACAAGTGAGTATTAATCTTTTGTTTGCTCGGATTCTGGATCAATGAACTGCTCGGGTCTTCTTTGAGGGAGGGGGGTTTTGACCATTTTTGGTAATTTAAACTGCCAACACAGGTTGAGTGGATGGATGGATCTGAATGAATGGTTGGTTGGAAATAGCAGAGGCGATGAATGCGATGAGGAGATTCCTGTTTCTCCTGACCAAAGCATTTGTTAAACTGCGCAGTAGTGTATTATGGATGCCACCACACCGTTACATAACTTGTATCAACGACAATCTGGTCTTTATCCCGTGCGAGCGGTGAATTAGGTCCCAAATCGCAACGTTATTGAATAATCGTGTCCTCTTAGATCATTATTTACATGCCAGGATCATAATACTGCAGAATAAACGACACATAGTTCGTCAGTTTGTGTGTATTTTCATGTTCAGAACTGTGCATACTCATAATTTGGGATATTAGCCTCCATGTATCTATACTAATAACCAAGTTACAGTCATACTATTACATCTAGATAAGCCTGTCTGCTCCCCACAAGACGTGCAGTGTATGCATCAGGCATGTTCAATGAAGACACGTTGTTTCTGTCGTCGTCTGCAGAATAGCATAAAGCCGAATCTGCACCGTGCTGTGCCAAGTCGAGCCAGAAGAGGGCGATGTCTGACAACAGCCACAGCACAGGCAGCAGTGGCTCCTCAACCAACAGCTGGACCCTCCTCTCCCCCGAGGTAAGACAGAGAGAACCAGCTCAGGAAACTCTGCTGCGAGCTGAAATATGGCTCGTCTGTACTTGCACCCCCAAAAGCTTCCCATAATTATGAAATTGTTGGCGAATGTTTGCCAAGTGTCAAACACTGATAGTGACAGTTTGAATGTGTGAAGTGTGTTTTTTCATGTATGTGTGAGCCATTGACTTGTCTGTTCTTCCACAGCTATTGTTGTGTTGTTTTGTATTTTGACTCTTTGTGCAAGTATTTATGCATGACTGTATGTCTGTAATAAGAAAGGGCATTAAGGATATACATATTTATATTGTAATTACTAGCAGATCCTCCTCAGATATCAATATATTGCTGAATATATACTCAATTATCAGTTTATTAGGTACTAAATATCTAAGGACTCACTAAATACTTAACTCTAATGCAGTCTAATATAACAGTCCTGTAATAAATCCTTCCTTTATGAAGGTTTTAATGTTCACTTTTTGTTGAAATGTAACTTAATGGTACTTTTGGAGTCTGTATAATGTGGTGTTGTTGAATTTCATTATCTTATACTGACTGAGAGGTAATATTTTGTTCACTCCATTTATATCAGTAAGGGTGGACTAAATATGACAGTTGAGTATATAATGTTTGTAATGGAGAATTATATGTCAGCATGTATAACAGTCACATTTGGATATAGTGGATGTTTAATGTGGAGGTCTAACTGTAATTTGTAGCTGTAGTGTTTCAGAAATCATTATAGGAGAAATCGGACTGACTGTCCACTTTATTGTTAATCAAGACAACAACATCACAAGATAAAAACAAAACCCCAGGGTTCAATTACAGTGATAGATGATAAACAAGAAATATCAATATGTTTCCCAGCCCAGGCTTGTGTGCATGTGCAGGCATGCCTGCATCGGGTGTGCTGTAAATGTCAAGGTCGGTGTTACCATTGAGCCTACTGTAGTTGGTGAAGCCTGATCTCCTGGGATCTTCTCTCATTCCGCAGGAGGCTGCTATTGAGAATGTCGGGCCGGTGGATGACGGCACCGAGAGCCTGAGTGACGTTCCCAGTCTCTCTGAAGAGGTCACAGGTATTGACGAGTCAAGATCTGTGGCAACGGTTGTGACATAAAATCAACATTTAAGGCCAAAGAGGTTGCTTTTAAACGTATTATTTGGTTTCATGTTTAAAGTTTTGACATTGTGTGAATGTTATTTCAGGAGCTGCTATGGAGTTCAAACCAAGTGACATTTCAGTAGAAACTGTCCTCTCTGAAGAAGGCCATCAGGTTGGTACACAGTAAACTATGCAATAATTCAGTCGTTAATAAGTTAGACAATTAAACAACGTCATTGTTAAGAGGACGAAAAGCCCCCTATAACATATATAAACTGTTATAACCAGCTATTGATGTTGAATGTATTATTGTGCCCACATGTAGACCAATTGTGACAGTATTAATTTCCTAGCTGCAGTCGGGTTTGACAAGACTTCAGATCTATAACATCAACTTTATTTACCTGCCTTTGTTACCAGTACCTCAGAATGAAGAAGCAGCTTCATTACCATTTCTGAAATGTGTCATACAAGTTGTAGAGAGACACTGAAAGTAGCCTCAGTAGAATGTGGTGCTTTTAGTCAGGTGTTTGGTAATTGGAAAAAAACTGCCTCAGTCGCATTCTGCCAATCCCTGCGCATAATACAAATTGAGAAGTTGAGACCTGTTCTCTTAAAATGATCAAACGTCACAGCATAGGAAGTCATCAAATGAAAGAGAAGTACTGTAGACAATAGAGTGAGAGTGAAAATGGATGCACAAACAAACAAAATCATAGCACTTTGATTGCAATGAAGATCCCAAATAGATGTCATTAAAGTATAAATATAATCACAGATAACCTTTTTCCTTACTGCCCCAATTTCTAGGTGTGTCAAGAGACATCTCCAGACTCCAGTGAGGGTCCCATTCCTTCTAGTCCAACCGGGATGAGTCCTCTTCCACTCAACCCCCTTGACCTTCCAGACCTAGACCAGGAGAGTCAGCCTCCAGTCATCCATGACATTGTAACCAGCTCTCCCAGTGACAACGAGCACCTAGGACCCACACCCTTTGTCACCAACATTGATTTGGGGGCTCCACTCGATATTCCCGCTGCTGAACTCCTGCCAGCTGAGCTTGAGGAGTCCTGCTCCGCTCCTCCCCTGACTGCGATCCCTGTCTCTACAGAACAAGTGCTTGACGCGCTTGCTGATATCGGGGTGATTCCTGCTGGCGCTGCTGGGGAGAGTCCCATCTTCACTGCTGAGCCGGAGGTTAACATCCCCACAGAGACCTTTACAGCCACTGATCCTCCTTCTCATGTTGAAACTGAAATCAGCTTCACTCCAGAGGATACAGAGCCACCAAGCCAAGACCAAGAGAGCCTGGTGACAGAAAGCCCCATCGATGATATCCCTGCACCAGAGACTGTTGGTTTGGTAGAGGAGGAGGAGGAGGCAGCTGTGGAAAAGGAGGAGATAGAGTCATTTGAGGCAGTGGCCCAGGATGAGAGAGAAGAAGAAGAAGAAGAAGAAGGTATGGGATCAGTCTACAGGAATAATTATGACGATGTATGCATTATAAATCAGGCAATGGAACTAGAGTTATCGTTATTTTAGAGGAGGAAATTTAGAGGTTGCTATGGGGATAAGGGATTATTTTGCTTTAAGTTTGACTTTTTTCTTGTGAGAAATTGGATGCTTTCAACTCTTCAGGCCTTCGAAAATGCTGCTGGTTAAAAGTTGGAACCACTGCTCTAATGGATGACAGGGTACTATCACACTGATTCCTCTTAAAAACATTACTTTACTTTACTTTAACAAGACTAAGGGTCCGTTAGCTGTCCCCAGAGACAGCCATGTTCATTATACTGTACACTCCGGGCAATTTGGTCAGTAGTTGTTGTAGATATCTTTCTCTGCACCAAAGTGTTGAACAAGCTGACATCACCTTATCTCCGTGCTCCTTTCTACTCGCTTAATAGTGTAACAAAACAAATGCCAGGCAGGAATGTTGTACAACAATGACCAAGAAAATAGAAAATAGAACAAAACTAGGGAAACAAATAATCCATCATTTCTGAACACCTGATCTTCAAGTTAGCTCTGTTTCTTTCTTTTCTGAAGTAAAGCCATGGCTAAAATAACCTGCTGGGGGTTTTCTCTGCTGGAAAAATATGAGCACAATATCGTCTGAAATAAAGAGGTCTTGAAGCTGTATATTGAAACAGGCCTTGATATCATGGTAATGAAGCAGGGCTCCCTTTAAGGCCCTTAGAATCTCAGTTAATTTTTTGTTTTAGTTGTGCATATTTCCAAACAAAGTTACAATGGATGATATTTCCATAAAGCAACTTACACACAGTGAACATGGGGCTTCCCTTGGGGGGTCTGAGGCCCTGCAGCAGTTAACAGCTTTGCCTGATTGGTAACTCAGCTTCGAGCAAAGTAAGTGGTTTATGGCCTTTTGTAATGAGCACTAGTCGATAGAAGCAGAAAATGAGAGTCCTCTTGCTGTTGAATTGGTTAACATGTTTCTTATCTGTGTCACGCTAGCAGCTGGAAAGTGATTTATCAGTATGACAGGGAGGCGTACACCCCGCTGAGAAAATGAAGAAACCCCCATGCATGAAATTACTGTTGTTATAATTTAGTGAGAAAATGTCATCCATTTCCACGAGCAGCTCTGACTTTTTGTCAGCCTTTTTTCTCATGCTGTTTACACACTGTTGTGTTTTGCAGTTCATGTGTTCACTTAGATTTTGGTATTTTGTGTGAAGCTGCCAGTAGATAATTACGAGTTTGGAGATAACTCTAGTCCTGACACTTTCGTAGCCAAAGATGTCGAGATGATTTGTGGAAGTGACTCGGGGGCCGCATTTGAATACATGTGGTTTAACTTTAGGCGTAGTGTCATCATCTTTCACAAAAATCCACTATTAAATTTGACGACTCTGCTGTCTTTTTGCTTATTCATGTTCAGAGTGTCCTTTTCCTCTTGTAGTTCTCCCTCCCTCAGAGCCATCCAGCAGTTTTGATTTGGGCGACACAAGCACCTTTGATGATGGAGTGAGGAGGAGGAATGCCCCCTCCTTCGAGGCACCAAGACCAAGAACATCAGATGAGGAAGATGAGGAAGAGGAAGTGTTCAAGCTGGCTGAGAAGAAGGAGGAAAAGCCATGGTTCTCAATGAACAAATGCATTGTGGGTGCTCTGATCTTGCTCTTCTTAGGTTCCCTCTTCCTCTCAGGTGAGTTCCTCTCACAACTAACTAAGCCTGCTAGCTTGCTTCTGCTTTTTATGGTCAGTACTGCAAGATTAAAGCCATGCTTATAATAATTATTACCAAATAAAGATTCTTATGTGAGAAATATCTTACGTTTGTGTTTACTGCACATCATCTTTTAGAGATTTACAGAATCTGTGCACCTGTTTACACCTGGTGCATAAGAGGTTTAACAGTTTTACAGTTTATTGTAAATAGTGTCAAAAAGGTACATTACACATTCGCTTTTTTGATAGTGCCAGTATTTACAAATTACATAAGCACATTTATTCGCAGTTGTCAGCAATAGACAGATGTCTGTTTTTAGATCTTGTTGACTAAGCTGTACTATGTCAACAGGTTTCCTCTCTGACCTGGATAATGGTAGGTCCAGTACTGAAGATAAGACAGCAGTGTAAGCTTCTGTGCTAACTGGCTAACGCTCAATAGCTTGTCCAAGGACTTATCTGGCCTGACACTTCATGCAGTGGCAGCAGAAAATGGCAAATAACACCCACTCTGAATTGTACAATAACACTCTTTATCACTGTTTTGAAGGACTCACTGGATGTTGATCGTGCTTAAGTTGAGGGGGAAATTATCTATTGCTGGCAATTTGCTTGGTTACGCAAAAATATTTTTTACTGAATTTAAAACTGCCTAAATAAATAGTTTATGTGTTCTGCACAAGTAGCGCCTGAGCTTATGGGACACACTTTATCACAAAAGCATCTTATAGAGTTGTAAGACAGCTTGGCAGCTGTGTGTCAATAAAATGCCTGTTTGTGTGAAATATGTTGTTTTCTTCTCCGACAGGTGACTTTGACGCCTCTGAACTGAGCGATGCAGAACAAAGCCAGGTCTGTTCCTACTGTCTTTCACTTTACTTACACAGTCTCAGTGTTATATGTTGTCCAGTATCTGCGTATAAAGTCCTATTTAAACAAAACTTGAGTCCCAGAACTTAAAAGACAAATGCTAAAGATAGGATTATTTAGAAATATGTGTTTTCTTCATTTGCCAACCATTTTCAATCCAGGACTGGCTTAGCGGTGATCCACAGGATATGAAAGAGCTATTGGATAAACTGACACAGGAAAACCAACAAATCACTCAGCTAGAGGCTCAACTACAGGTCAGTATACCATTTATATTGATGCTAATGATGTTGTTTTACCTTTTCATGATGTTTTTAAATGCATTGCAATATATAGACCGCATGTTTTCAATAAATATATTTGATTATTGTCCAAGTTGTGCACAACCTGGTTTTGACTACGGCACTTTTTTCTTTATTTCTTAGTCTCAGAAAGAAGAACTCGACTCAGCTCTGAAGGCAGTAGCAGCGAGCGGTGATGAAAATGGTAAAGCAGGTCTGGAAAAAGAAAATTCAATGCTAAAGGAAGAGCTGTCATCTCTGCCTGAGCTGAAGAAAGAGCTGGAGAGTCTGAGGGCCAGGGTGACCGAACTCAGTCAGCTTACAGGTATAATGTGGTGAACACTGAGTGAATCAGCTCATTTGATAGTGAAGGAAATCTGTACTGCTGCATGTTGATATTTATTTAAATGATAATGTATATGAAAAGATACTGAGATATAAAAAGAGTGCTAAAAGTGACCCTATTATAATTAGCTATCAAACCATTATAACTTTCATATATTAAATCATTCACAGCTGATCAGGAAATGCCCCCGGCTACCTCAGGCCCGGCCCCTCAGCCTGGTGACAAAGATACTCAGAGTAACCAGAAAGCAGCTGGACCCGAGAGGAGAAAGGACACAAATGAGGGAGGAAGGCTGAAGGAAGAACTACAGAGGCAGAAAGTTCTTTTGGAGGAGAGCAGGAAGAGACTGCAAGGGATGAAAAAAGATGGAGGCGGCAGGAAACAAGTGAGAGACAGTTTGGAGGAGATCCAGAAAAAGCTTTCTGAACAGGTTGAGAGGTGGGGTAAGAAGAAGCCGCAGGAGTCCAAATGGAAAGGGAACAAGGGCAAAACTAATGAGCGGGACCACTGGAAGAAAGACGAAAAGAAAGAGTGGAGAGGAGAGAAAGATTGGAAGCATAACAAAGACGGAGAATGGAGGGACAAAGAAGAGAAGAAGGAGAAGGAGTGGAAGTCTCAGAAGCAAAATTCTCACAAAGAGGCATGGAGGAAACACCAGGACGAGTGGGAGAGGAAGAAGAGCGAGCGCAGAACGGACAGAGAGGAGAGGAGGAAGGAGAAACCCTGGCACAGCCGGCCTGGCAAGAACTCCGACAACCATCATCAGCACCAACATCACCACCACCAGCCCCGTCAGCCTCATCAGCCCAACCAGAACGACTTCTGGAGAGACCAGGAGCAGAAGCTCAGACGCACTGTCAGCTCCCAGCTGGGTTGCAGCTCCGTGGAGGACTGCGCCGGCAAGGAGGGGCTCTACCCGGTGGAGCTGCCCGAGTTTGAGGAACTGCTGGAGGGCTACCTGAGCAAGCTTGAGGGATCTTCATCTGAGAGCAAGGACAGGATCAGGAAGCTGACTGCGGAGTTCTTCGAGGACGGCGTGTTCATCCACGACAGGGTTCTTTTCAGTGACTTTGCAGAGGACGTGGCGGACATTCTGGAGGACATTGTGGACGTTTTAGAGGGCGGTGGGCAAGACGACGACTCCCTGGAGGAGGAGATGGAGGAGTTCGAACGAGAAGCCCTGTGGAAGTTTGCCGCCACAGCTTAAATAGACAAAGAGGGGGGGGGTGGGGTCGGGGGGAAGTAAAATACAACACTAAGATGCAGCACAAGTTGTGGTTTTATAGGACATTTCTTGCCTACATTCTCCTCTTCAGAGCTGTAATTGTAGTAGCTTCTGGTACAGAGTGGTTGTGCCTCTCATAAACGTTTCCCTCTGAGTCTTTAATTATAAGCTAGACTTGTACTTTTCATTTTGGACTTAGTTGTTGTTACCTACCTCTGTCAGGTCATGCCTCCTAACGTGAAATCCTTCAGTAATGTGTTGTGTGGATTTTCCTCTGCTGTATAGTGTTTTCTCAATACGTAGTGCATGCTACAGTTCATAATATAAATTCAAACTGATGATATCCAGATCACTCACTAAACAACTGGGCTTTAAGGAGATGGCAAATAATTGTGTTGAGCAGCAGTGCAACGGTTAAATATATTCATACAATTAATTTAGTATTTAAAATTGACTTTCTGCCTTGACACTGCTCCGAGCAGGTTAAAACAAATGCTGAGAAACTTTTGCAGATACCAATTTGCCTCAAGTTGGGTGTTAACTGTCCAATCCCAGAGGATAAGATCCTGGTTCAGTGATAAGAATCAGATCAGGTCAGACCAGTTTTTTGTCAGCAGCTCTTTGGTAGATTTGGGCAAAAGCATACAGAGTGTTGTTGCCCTAAGCGTTAGGACTTTTCATCCTCTGACTCCCAACTGTCAGTCGAGAGCAGATGGGTGGAAACTTCCAGGAACTGGTTTGTGAAACGTCAGTGCTGCTAAAAAAAAAAAAAGCAATAGGACAAAATGATAGCCATAGTTAAATGTATGCCTGCTAAACCACTTTAGAACTTTTCTCAAACATTCACATTTACAACAGGTTTTTTTTTCTTCTCACTTTTCACTTCTGTTATGTTTTTTTTTTTAGACCATTAGTTCTACTAATATTTTTTTGTAATGTAGCCATGGGGACCTTCAACACATGATCTACATATACTGGGTATCCCAGAGCATTCAGAGTAAAACAGTTAGTGATCTCTAGTAATCTCCAAACAGTTTCATTTAATGGATTTATTCATTCGCCATAAATGAGATTGACAACCTAACTTTTCAATTCTTTCATTGTCCTTTTGTTAACAGGTTGATATCAACTGACATGCACGCGAGTGATATAGATATAGTTATTTAGTTTGAGAAAATGGCAAAATGATCTTTTTGTTTCTCAAATATTAAGTTGAATGAGCCAGGCAAAAGGTAAAATAAGACAAAGTATTACAGAGCTGCTTTCCAGCGTTGGGTACTGAGATTTTGAGAAATAATTATTTGTTCTTTTGCTTTTGTTGTTTGATTGTAGTCATGTTTTATCATGAAGTTTTTTCCCTCTTTAGGTGGAAGTGAAGTTAAAGTCGACAGATTGTGATTGTTGGTTCTCATTCTTCAGCGGTTGAAAGAAGCTTTGAAGTGTTTCATGTTTATTTATTCTGTCACTACACTGCAACTCTTTTCCTTATTTTTAACAAGAAGAACCACAGACTGTGTCCAAGGCCATATACATTGAATGTGTGAAAATGGTGACATTTTATTTTGGTTTGCAGAAATTTAGTTTGCCAGCTACTGCTTACGTGCCTTTATTATTATAAATATGTTAGATCGGACAAAAGGTCTTGGATTTCATTTGCTTCTGCAAAATTAAGAAGAAAAGAAGTTTACACTACTTACACTTGTACTGCTGCTTATATGGCAGAGAATGAATGTCGTAGGGTTTACACATGAAGTGTTGTATGGATTTCTGTTAAACATTCTCTGCTGTTTATACAGAGGAGCTTTTTCTTTGTTGGAAGTTTCTAGACCAAAGGGATCGGAAGAAAGCTTAATTTCAACAGATGAGTCCTTTTAATAAAACACATTTATGAAAGTTTAATCAATATTTGAGAAGTATTTTTGTCTTTGTGGGACAACAGTAGGGCTCTGTGCTTACTGCTAATGTAGGAACTGGCTCTGATGTGCATGTAATTGATCCCTGTACAAATATATTGATAAATTTGGATCATTTTTCATTTTTTTCCATCATCAGTTGTGTCCTCTGTCAGTGTTAAGTTCAATAAAATTTCCACCATTGAATATGTAAAGTTTGTCCTTATTTCATTTCAGTTGATTCATTCATAAGGAAAAAAAAAGATATCACAGAATATATCCCCCTACTATTAAAATGTACAATGATAGCCGGGGTGTGACTCACTCTCTGGCAGGAAGTGGAAGTGTTGGCATGACAGGCATCTATTATCACAGCTATGATGCCAAACTAAAATATTTACATCCAGATTAAATACAGCAGCTTACACGTTCACACGCACTAACTTCCTGTCAGCCTTTACATGATACACAAACCAACCTAGTCATTGAGCTGCTATGCTGATGAACGAGAATGTAAGCAACAGTCACAATGAAACTACAGAGAGAGCTTGTCATTCTTTGAGTTCTAAAAAAACAAGTCACCATGCAAGCATTTCTGTATGTTTTAGTACTTTGTTTCTGCATTAAAGGTGCTGATGGATCAGCAACTAAATATCCAACAGAAAAGGAATTAGGGAAAGGTACAACACTCAAAAATGTTGCTAAAATGTTAGCAATCTTTAATTCCGCCACCCTGGTTTTCTTAAAATGCTCTGAAATGAGACCATTTCTTTGTAAATCTCTCTGGGGGTATTCCACACATTCAGCCCTGCAATTGGAAAGACTTACACATGCGACAGTGTGTGTTGTCCTGAAAGTCGTATTATTTGAGTCATGTTTTGTATAAACGAATTACTGCTTAGACAGGCATGATTCAGTCTCTTGATTAGAACGGCCTGACAAAAATGCCGTCACTAAATCCCTTGCTCTGCAAACAGACTGAAATGGGTTTTGTGCTATCATCAGTACAAATTCGCCCTTTGTATGACAGAATGGCACTTTTTTTCTGTTTTGTGTGCGTGTGTGTGTGTGTAGTTTTATGATGTGTGTCCCCAGTGTAGTGGAATACAGGAAGAGATAAGGTCAGCTGGCTGGATGGGGGAGAAGAGGGCAGGTTAAGTGTTTTCCGCTGATGTGTGCATCAGTGGTCAGAGATGAGGCATATAAATGTAGAGAGATGATGGCCAGAGTGGAGGGACACAGTTCTACACACTACACAGCATCTCAACTTAAAAGGTGAGACCACAGCCACTGCTCTTCAGTACAACTCTGTCTTTGACTTTGCAGCTTTGTTGAGGCTTTTCTTTCTCTCTTTATTTACTTTCCACATCTCAGCACAAACCATCATGGAAGCTGCCATCTGCACCCTCGTCACCCAGTTCAAGACGTATGCTGGGAAAGATGGGTCCTCCAGCACCCTCAGTAAGGATGAATTCCACAACCTGGTGACCTCCCAGCTACCCAACTATGTCAAGGTAAATCTCAAAAGTTGTTCAGAGCCACTTTACCTGCTGATTGCTGTCGACTTTGCATCCAGAGCTCTTACAGATAGACATTGACATTGAGGTTGTGGCTTTTTATGCAACATTAAGGTGTCTGAAGCCTCTCAAGATGTCACTGTGCTGTTATTCAGACATATTACTGTGGCTATATGGTCTTTACATATAACTCTACTGTTATCCACCCTCATAAAAGACCCATTCTTGCTGCCACTTAGTTTTATAGAGTACTTTCTCTAAGTTTAGTACAATGTCACACACATCGTTATGTCCTGGGCAGTGGCGGAGGAAGTATCAGATCCTTCACTTAACTAAAGCACTAATACCATGCTTTGAAAAAAAGTCCTGCACTGAAAATGTTACTTAAATAAAAGTATGTAAGTTTAATGAGAAAATATTTACTAAAAGTATTAGAGTAAAAGTGGCCCCTAAATGGCCCCTAAGGATATTAGATCATGCATTAATATAAATGCAGGATTTTACTGTTGTAGTTGGTTGAGGTGGAGCTAATTTTTAACTATTTTGCACAGGACTTTGGAACTAATTGATTGATCATTTTTAATAATATTAATTATGAATTAATCTGTTGATTGTTTTCTACATTAATCAACTGATTATTTACAAGTAAAAATTCTGAAAATTGTAAGAAATGTCATCATAATTACCCAGAGCTCAAAGTGACATCTTCACAATGTTTGCAAAAGCCAAATTTCTTTGCTAATCTACCAATTATCTTTTCCCATTACTCAATTAATGTATATTAATATGTATCAAATGTAATAAACCATCATTATTTGATGTGGTAAATTTAAGGTAATGTCTTAAAATGACTTTATCTGGAGGAAAATGTCTTCAATTTAAATTGGTATAAAATGAAGGAGCAAGCAAATACCATTATTTGATAAATGTATTTTATTTTATAACAGATAGCATCTCTATGAAAGTGAAATAGAAATAAATTCTTACTTTATTTGACAAAATGTAATACATGTTTTATGAAGGCCAATGTGAGTGACTGAGTTTAATTAATTGTGTGCTTTTAAAGGATACTTTCTGTGGCTGTAAATGAATGTTGACCCCAGTTATCATTTATTACTACACTCAGCCATTAGGTGGCAGGACAGTCTTGTGAGAGTGATCTTGTAATGATCAGGGTCTCCTCTATGTGATCACCCACAGAACGCCAGTGATCCCGGGGCGATCGAGCAGCTCATGAGCTCGCTGGATGAAAACAACGACGGGGAGCTGACTTTCTCCGAGTTCTGGCAGCTGATCGGAAAACTGGCGAGCAAACAGGGAGGCTTCAGTCAGTAGAGCTCGCCATCCTCTGTCCGTTGTGGCTTTGAGTAGATTGTTGCAATACCAATCAACTCAATTTAAGCTGTCCAAATTCAAACTCAAAGGCATTCACATCCTTTTATCACTCCACCAGTCCCACATGTGTAACTCTTTAGTTAACCATTTGTTGAATGCAGGGAACTTTTGAATTAAAGGCTTCATTGTCTCCAGCCCTCAGCCACCAACACTCTGTCTCCTGTCATTCATTCACCACATTATATGATGTCCAGCAGTCCACATTTGAGTGGGAGTGTATTACAGCCTTGATTTTGGGACCTGTAATCCTATATGTGTTGCTGCTGCCACAGCTACACCATCCAGACCATATCTTGTTCCATAGAGCTTCATAATGCCTGTGCAAAGCTGCCTATCCAAGCGTTAAGCAGCTGTGATGCAAAAACATGGCCTGGTCTTCCTTGTCTGTCAATGAGGCCTCAGTAGACTGTGTAATGGGGATATGTGGACCAAATATAGCAGGTTATGTCTGGGAGGACTTATTGTTTTTGCAACATTTGGGACTTTGTAGTTTAATTGCATTGTGCTTGTTTAGCTGGTAATTCTTGCTGTAACGGTCACTTTGTGTTAATTCTGATGTCTAGACAGAGTTATGTGTGCTGGCTTGCTCCCCAGCTGTTTTATAGCCTATAGGCCTGTTTTAATTTTGCAAAAGAGACAAGGTGCTGCTAACTGATGTTGAAAAACGCGGACTCTTTCGACAGATAAGAAAATGTGACCTTTGTATCCAAATTACACATGCTAAGGTGCCAGTGTGGGAGGGGTGGTAACGGGCAAATGAGTCAGCAGCAACAAAGTGAGAGGCAAAAAGAGCTGGGCACCCGTCTAGGCTGTGTCCGTCTGTATGGGGAGGTCTCCTTAGTTGCCAGTCAAGAGCTTCCCCAGATAACCTCAATGTGGAGGCTTGTATCTCACTTGTCCACGAGAAGGACCAGTTATGAGATTTAATCTGTGGAGGGAATTTTTAAAAACAATACAAAGACTTGAAAGCCCTTTCAAGAATCTGGCGAGACTGCTTTGCCTCTTGCACCACATTTGCCACCCACACTGGCTATCCTTTAGTATTTTGACTGAAGATTCCTTTATTCTCAAATTTCCTGCTGTGTCAGCTGGGAAAAGATTGACCCTCCATCACAGCCAAAGTTTTAACTGTCTTTTGTAGCTGAAAAGGGGAGATTTTGTTCATGTTAGTACCTTTTCTTGGTGTGTATTTATATCTTTTTATGCACTCACATATGTGAGTTGTCCTGAGACATACAGATGTGTAAAAGAAAAAAGGAGAAAAAAAAAAGACACATCCTCCCTAAAAAAGGATTGTAAGGGTCTGGATAATAGCTATACTTCCTAAATCTACATTTAATAAGTGAAATACTTTTGAAAGCCTTGTGCAGATGAAGTAATCCCACCCGCCCTGTCTCCTCGTCCACGCAGATGAAGCCGCTCCAAGCCACAAGCCTAGCGAGTTGGCGTGAAACTGTGCAAATCACACATGACGTGAAACAGCTGGCCCATGAGCCAAAGATAATTCCAATAAAAACCCAACTATAAGTGTTTCGATACACTTTTTTGACTCCCTTTTTGCTCAGAGTTAGAGCCGCGCTCTTCCACATTCCCACTTCTCCCTCTCACTCTTCCAGGTACACGCCCTTTGACTTGTCAGGGGGAAAAGTTTTAAGGAAAGGAAAAAAAAAAAAAAAAAGCCTAAATCACGGAAGAGATTCTGCTGTCCTACTAGTTTGGCAAGTTCTCTAGGCTCAAAGCGGCGTAGAAAAGGCGGAGAAGAGGGCAGAAACTCAAATTTGCGCACATTTATACACATCTCTTTTCCCGCAGACTGTATACGGTGAGTTGGACGCGGCTTTCTGGGTTCTTTTTAAGTTTCTCGTGCAAATGAGCATTGTATTTGTTCATCGTTTTTGCCACGTTTCGATATACTCTTGCAAGAGCCATCCCATGAAACTTGGCCGCCGTCTGAGTGCAGGACGGTTTCAATGACTCCAGCCCTCAGACGGGGTTTAGACTCACGTTGCACTTTTAGAAAAGAGTAAATAACAACAGTTGGCGGCTATTTTGCTTCTGTTTATGTTTACTTTACTCGGTTTTATTGACCGTGTTTGATTGCCATATGCTCTCTCTCTCTCTCTCTCTCTCTCTCTCTCTCTCTCGGAAAGATATTTGATATTTTGATGTAGATCAGTTGTCAAGCTGCCGATCAATTTGCAAACAGCCTATCAAAAATTGAAGTGACTTGAGGTGACAAGAGCGTTTGAGCTTATAGTATGTCCGCACGGCATCCGGGTGGCGTGTTAACGCGCAATTGTGCGCAAGATCAATATTTAGCGCACAATAAGCCTTTTATGAAGGAGGCCCACCAGAGTGACAACTTGGCTCGCCGAGTGGATTTCCTTTATGACAACTTCTTCAATACTGTTTGTCGATATTTCAGAGTGTTTGTGGTGTTAATGGTGATGAGTCCTGGCAAAATCTGATGCCCGCTGATGGTGTTGTTGTGCGCGCTCCTCAACGTTCATTTGTCGGTATTTTCAGACCTAACTGAGAGGCTCGGATGAAAGACAGCCACTGTGCGTCTGCTCACCGCAATTTACAGCCACAACCTAACTTGTTCCTCTGTTAATATTTTATGCCACACGAGCGGTAGTATTGTCATTACTCTGCGCACATACCGTATCACATTCGCCCATTTGGAAACGCAACACTCAATCTCCTTTGGGCTCTGGAGGGAAACGGGAAACCTCTGGTTGTAGGCCTGTATATTTAATTATTTGCGCAGTTGTTGTTTTTTTTTTCTGGCCTTTTAGGACAAATAACGGGGATTAGTTTGTCTCCTGAGTGGGACAAGATGAGGCTCTGACGTGGGGACGAGGGGTGCAAGTCTTGAATTCATTTGTCGAAATTAGGACACGTGTTGGGACTCTTTCCAAGCAGGCAATACCACCTTAAGTGAGGTCTCTAGGTAAATAATGAACGTGAGAATGGACAGAAATGTCAATCCAAGTATAGAAGAAGTGTCTGTCTCCAGGGTTTTTTGGACATGACGCACGGAGAGCCGTTGAGGCCCTTGTGTACTCAAGCTGCAGAGGGTGTGCCACCTTGCAGGAAGAAGTCCCCTAAAGTTCCTATAAAACAAAGACAGTGTCTATAATAACGCAAAAACTGTCGAAATATGTAATCCGGATATGGAAATCAGAATAGATAAAATAAAATGAATGTTTTTTTTAATCCATGCTTATAACATTTTTGTTGAGCGATAGCTGTGTTAATCAGACGTGATATGCTCATTCTACTACATGCAAACCTGTGGTTGTATTGTGCTCATATGCTGGCAAAGCAAAATGACAGTTAGAGATCAGTAGGTCAGTGAGTATGACCTGAAAGGGGGGGTTGAGTGAAATGTAAGGTTTTAATGGCCCTCTGCTCCAGTGTCAGAGCTCTCTGTCTCTCCTGGTATAATGAGACTAACAGGCACATACCCTAATTAGCCATATATGCTTGTGGTGGCGGTCATAGAGAAATTGCTTGGCTTGAAGGCGCTTGAGTGTGACATTCATTCTTAAGTAATTGAGATATTAGTTTGCAAATGACCACTCGGCTGACACGAGCAAGCCGGCATCCTGTTGAGACAAGGAGTCCTTCCTCACCAATGTAAACTGTTATTTGCTCTCCAGCATTTGAATACTGAAGCTGACAGATGAGTACGGTCACCTTAAACATGTTCTCTCGCTGCTATGGGGCAAACTGTCTCGGAATTGGCCTGTAAATTCCTGTCTAAGTGATCTCCACAGACAGCAATGAATGGAATTCCTGCAAAGATGTGTCACCTACTGGCATGTTTTACATTTTGAGCAATGCCTGAAGACGTCTCTTTTTGATTTATATTGCTACGAATGTGCTACTATCCTTATCATTCTATCTTCATTGTCAAAAGTTATGTTTATTTGTGTACAGTTGTATGAAGGCTGTGGCTTGAGAAGGCAGCAAAGTGAAAACCACGATGAGACATTGTCAAGCAAGGGAAGGGAGAGTGGCACTGAAAGAGAGAAGCAGGTACAGCTGGTGAGGAAGACAAAAAGAAAGAGAGGAGCAGACAGGGACTAGGTAATCCCTTAGGTAATCTGAAGCCTAGTCCCCTCGGTAGCTTCAGTAGATCAGATGACCTATCAAAGATCAGAACTTCCATTGTGCATCACAGCTTGTCTCTCAATCAGACTCCCTCTCACCCTCTCCACTTATCTCACGTCACCATCCCTCCCTTATTGCGGCTCTAGACTCAACACCTGAAACGAAAGGCCTCGCAGGGACACGAGGAGATCCTCTGTTTCATTTTCCACTGGATGTGCCTATCACATGAATGTGTTTTGAGTCAGACCATCCTAGAACTTCCTCCTTTACACTGCACGCAACCGCAGCAGTGGTCAGCTGTTTGTGAATATCTATCTATCTATCTATCTATCTATCTATCTATCTATCTATCTATCTATCTATCTATCTATCTATATGTTTATCTAACACCACTGTCTTGACCTGTCTTCCCCAGAGACAGGAGTCATGGAGGCTGCCATTCAGACCCTGGTGAAGGTCTTCCTGAAGTCGGCCAAAGGAAAGGAGAGTCTAGGAAAGAAAGAATTCCAGGGTCTTGTCAAGAACCAGCTCTCCAACATCCTTTCGGTTAGGAAATCTTCACTGAACCTCTTTGAAATGTTACCAACACTAGCATTATGTAACCACTTCATAGGCTATCCTTAACCTGTCTTGGCCTGTCCTGATATTTTTAACATGAGCACTGTGACTAAATGGTGGTGTAACATACAGTAGATGGGGAAAAGGGATCCAATATAATTGAATGACATTCATCAGCTTTATGATGTAAATAGAGTCACTGATAGAGGGTCATTTACTAATCCTGTATGGTGATTTCACCAGTGAGTCCAGTTAGAGTTACACATCATCATGCTTATTTGTTTCATGGTTGTGTCTCCTACCCAGGACACAGACAGCAAAGAGGCGGTCAACAACATGGGCCAGGGACTGGATGCCGACCAGGATGGCAAAGTTGGCTTTGAGGAGTACATGAAGCTGGTCGGGTACCTGGCGGTCTCGCTCAGCGACCAGCGTAATCTCGCCAAAGAGGAGTCCGCCCAAAATTCTGCGTCCGGTCAAGTGGCGCAGTCAAGTGCCCAGGACAAAGAGGAGAAGAAGCCAGAGGCAAACGCAGGAGCAAAAGAGGAAGCAAAGCCAGAGGCAAATGTGGAGGCAAAGGCGGAAGCAACTGCTGAAGTAAAGGCAGAAGCCAATGCAGACCGAAAGGTAGAATTAAAGGTAGAAGCAAATGCAGACCCAAAGGTAGAATTAAAGGTAGATGCAAAGGCAGAGGGGGCGACGATGCCTGAGGCAGCAAAGGTGGAGGAGAACCCAGCAGCAGCGGCGGTGGTGGCTGCAGTAGAGGAATCAGCATCAGCAGTGGAAGTGGCCGTGAAAGAAGTGGTGGAGGAAACAGAAAAGGTGGAGGAAGATGCGGAGAAGCTGGCTGCAGCTGTGGAGGAAGAAGTGGAGAAGAAGATAGAGGAGGCAACCTCATAGGGGACAATCCATTCCATCACAAAAAAAATTACACTAAACGCTTACAATCAACACTACACAAAACACAGCATTAATGCCAAAAGAAGTTGGTAAGCCACTAATGAGTTTTTTTAATTCACACAACTTTGAAATACAAAATATCAGTAAAAGTTCAAACACTACAATCCCAGCTCTAAAGAAACCCTACTCCTTATATATGATAAATAATACATCTACATGACAGAATTATTGCTTTGTACTACTAGTTACCACTATGTTCATGTGTACAGCATGTGCATCCCACTATATAGCACATTTACCTCATTACGATAATATACTATGATAGCATGCAGACGTACACTATCATATGCATGCCATATCCCTGTGAAAACCTAACTGCAAAATATGATTTACCTGCAAAGTGTCACTGTATGTTAACACACCACTGCAGCCAAGATATTTAGTTTAAATCCCCTGCTCTCCCCACTTTTATCTTTATCTGGGTCTCTTCTGCAACTCTACTTACTGTACATTGGTCTTTGGTAAAACATCAGCAGTGTACATCTTGCTATGCACTAATGTTTTAAAAGAATAGTTGGACATTTTGGGAAATACACTTATTAGCTTTCTCACCAACAGTTAGATGAGACAATCGACACCACTCTTATAGGTGTCCACTGAATATGAAGCTACAGTTAGTAGCTGGATAGCTCAACTTAACATAAAGCTTGCCTGTATCTGTTCAAAGGCAAAAAACCTGTCTACTAGCACGTCTAAAGTTATATCTGGACAGTTTTAATCTTGTTTACACTTTGGTTTTATATAACGAGTTAATTTGTGAGCTTTAGAGGTGCTGGAGGTGGATTTTGTTGCATTTGGACAGAGCCAAACTAGCTGGTTTCCTAATCAGCTGCTGGCTGTAGCCTAATTTTTACCACACATATAAGAAAGTAGTATTAATCTTCTCTTCCAACTCTTGGCAAGAAAGCTACTAATATCCCAAAATGTTGAGCTAGTCCTTTAGAGGTTGCATGATAATCTGTCAAAACACTATATACGTTTTTTACATTCATTTTTTACATCTTTTAACTCACCATGCTATGGAGCTGATTTGGCATGACAATAAACAAATTGTTTTGCTGGAGCTTTGCATTAATTCAGCTCATCTCAGTTGTGTTCTCAATATCCCATCACACCCTCTTCTTTCTCTCTTCCTAGCCTACTTCATGTGCTCTTCTCTTTCTTTTTTTCCTAAATTCTCGAAGGTTCACTTCATGTGGATCATGCAGTATGTTCTCTTCACTCAAAGTCAGCCATGGATTAGGAACTGGAAGATCAGGTGTGTCCCTTGGCTAAATAATTAAGGTTCAAGAGTGGAATCCACACCAAAGGACCCTTACGGTCAAGAAGGGAGCCCAAAATAGTCCCATGGGAGTGGACTGGTGACTAGAGGAGCAGGTCAGAGAAGGTGTTCATGCAACCTAATTCACCTGGATTAGACCTGGTAGAGAGGAACAAGATAACAAAAACAAAAGAAAAACATAACAGGTGTCACTCAGTGGCAGTTATCTCAAGTACTCTTTGATGCATTTTCATTCGGTTTGTGTCTTCCAAACCATATTGCATATCAAGGGCCAGGTTTTTACTTATTGATCCATGAAGGTGCTGAACGGTACATTATCACCTGGTGGTATACTGGATTGGAGTGACAGAAACTTGACCTTTGTTTTTGTTTCTCTTTAAAATTGCTTATTGTTGCTCATTGTTTTCTGCTGGTCTTAGCACCACTTGTTCAGGCTTGCGTGTTTGTGTGTCGGTCACACCCTCATACAGTTTAAAGACCCTGTTTGACCTGCAACTGGATCCTTGTGTCCCAGGCATTGGGAAACTACTGGATTAGGCATTTGATGGGTAACACACCCTGGGACACAAACAATTACATGAAAGTAATCCCGGGCTCCGGTGATCCTGCCCATCAGATGAGGTGGTACTGTCAGAGAGATCAGTGTCAGAGGTTGTGCTTATTTTAGAAAAAAAAAAAAGAATACTGAGCCATCAATATGAATTTATGTGGTGTGATCTTTTACAATAAGACGCAATAAGGTGTTGCATGCTATCGGAAACTTGCTAGTATTACCATTTTATTGCAGTTATTGTGGCCAAATATTTAAGTATGACACGGCCTCTTTATATTTAACTCTTTCTTGTTTGGGACACTATGGACACTTAAAAATCTGCTTCTGTCACATGTCACATTATTTGCAATTTGTTAATTACAATTTAATGATTTGTAAATTGTCTCATCATCAATAATGCAACCATGAGAAAAAGGCTCGTGTTGCAGGCCTGCTGTGCAACAGGTCTGCCTGGCCGGCCGCATGGTGCTTAAGGCACACACATTTTGGGCACACTACCAAATGTGCACCTTATGCAATGTAACAGCACCTGGCACTTCAAACTGCTCAGCAGCAAAATGGGCAAGACAAATAAACCTGAGTCATGTGGTCACCCTGCCTCACTGCGACACTCCCATTGCAAATACTCTCTCATTTACACTCACTCTGCTCAGCCTTTATACTCATTGTACGCTGTGTTTCCTGCATGCTCTATTACTAACACATTTATTAGACATTTTGGGCTATTTAGAGTATTATTTTTTTCTTTTATTAAAACCTATATTCTTTTCATATCAAAACATTTTCTTATCATGGTACTTCCTGTGAATAATGGAAACATATCACTCTCTTGCACCATCTACAGCCAGCTTCCTGTTCAACATTAACATAGGCCTATATACGTACTATACTGGCAAGCTGCATACCGTATTTGCTATTCCCCGCATGTTTCGTGCACAGGCGTGGATTAAACATCATCTGGAAATTATTTTATCACAGCTAATGCTTTCTTTTAACCTATTTGGAATAGCAAATGGATGGAGTGAACTGTTTTCTTTCAGAGAGGTTGAACTGTCTGCCCTGGCAGTTTTGTTACTGTCCCATAGTGTAAACCCCACCCAACCGTAACTCCATGTAGATTAAAAACATGCTGGAACGAAACACAGCAGATTTGCAGCAGGGAGTGTTTGCATCCAGATTTTCATTGCCACACAATGAGTCTCATTCATTCTTTGACACAGTAGATGAAGATAAAAGCCTGTGTTCTCCCAGTGAAAGTGTACATACACGTTATATGGATGTGCTTTAAAGGCTCATAGGGTAAAACTGTTTTGTGATTTTGGGACCATTCCCAGGATATTGTCCAGGCTGTCATCATCGTGTGTTGATGTACTCTGTTTATTTCCTGCCAAGTACTAGAGGGTGTGTGTTTGTGTTTAGCAGTTGGACTAATTTCAGTCCACAGTCATGTCCAGTAAACTCCACTATGCTAGTGTTTCAACTTCATATGTAACGCTGTATCATTTTTGCTTATTCTATGTAACATTTGTAATGGCTAATATTGAATAAAACTGTGACGATAACATTTGTACTTGCCTGCTATGTGCTCGGTTACTTGCAAGAATCCAGTTATCATGCGTGTGTGATGGAGAGAGGAAGGGAGAGAAAGCACCTGCAAAAAGAGGGAGGGAGGGAGGGAGGGAAGATAGAGAAACAGAAGCAGATACTATGTAAGTGGGTGAAGGAGTTTGGCGGGGAGGGGGGGGAGGAGGGAGAGGGGCAGGTGATATTTAAGCCACTGGCAAACTCTCTCCCCATCCATCTCTGCCTTGGCTCAGTCCCCTGCACCTCTTCAAAGACAAAGGAGGCCCTCCATCAGCACTCAGGTAAGACAGACAGCTTGGAGGTATTGCTTCACTGTACTTTCTCCTCTATATCTGATGAAGGTTTCTTGTAAAGTAAATTAAAGCATTTTATCAGCTGTGTAACTGCAGTAAATAGCAGAAAGACACTGGGTAGTAGGGACTCAGCTGAAGAATTGAAAACTAAATTCTGGTCAACGTTTTGTTTTTTTCTTGTAAAGCTATGTTAATGTGTAAGCTTTGAGAATAGCATAACAGGGAATTTATACATCAAAGTGAAGCCAGTAGGGATTTGAGAAAAAGCAGTAAAATAAATTACAATATACTGGCATTAATGTATGTTAAATGTATGATTAACAACTGTAAGCATGGCAGGTTTGTACCAAACCACTGGTACACGAGTATATTTAGCCTTTTCTTTTAACTAAATGTTTAATTAAATATGTCACTCAACATGGATATTGTTCCGTCACTAAGTTTACATAATGCATGTTCATTATTACCATACTCAATATTGTGTTACTGACAGCATGTTAGTCTCCATGGTTTCCTATTGTATTGTGTCAGTCAATGAGACCGTTGACCCCTATAGATTTTCCAGTTAGCTAGCTTTGGTGTCCACTTGCCTCCTCTTTTGTCTCATCTGCCTACAACTCTGACCTCTCCGGCTACACTTCTCTGAAGCATGATGAGAAGCTATAACCGGTGACTGACATTAGCATCCCTGTCATTTTTTATAATAGCTGAGAATAAATCATGCACAGGGAGATTGACAGATAGATTATGTCCCTCAGTATTTTGCATTGCTTAGCTTCAAAAATAATGCTACAGACTTTATTTTTTTATGTAGTTATAGGAGCCTAGAGAACTTTAAACTTGAGCTTGAAAGCTGAATGTGACTAAGCAAGTGTGGAAGTGAGTGAATGCCCTCACCTGTATGTACAAGTTAGGGTATATGCTTGCACCTCGGGTTACTCGGCCCCTTAGTTTCTGAATGTGAGTTTTGTGTTTCACTCCTGGTTTCCATTTTGAGTGATAAGGCTGTTACACGATCAACAGATAGAGGATGTCTATACTGAAACCACTTTTCTCTGATACCACAGTGTTAATTATTACATGCATTACTGATTCAGTTTACAAGAGCGATAACCCGTGGACTATCAAAACAGCTCAAATGTTCCTTTTTATGCAGCACATCAGGTGACACAAAGTATGCTTTTTTTTTTTTTACACATTGAGATAGAAAGTCTTCACAATCTAACTCTGCACCATTGACAGTGACGTATCTGTGTCTGTGTATGTCCAGTCTCTCCACGAGTCCAGCACAAGAAGCTCCAAGATGCCGGACACAATGTGTGTAAGATTGTTCGAAACGCTTTTCCAATGCTATCCTCCATCTTTCCATCCAAACCTCTGAAATGTAAAACCCAGTAAGGTCACACACACACACAGTGACCACACTACTGAAATTAGGGTCAGTAATAGCCTCTGCACAACACGCAGAGCGTTATTCGACCCGTTAGAAATGGGAAAACCTCCCTGCTTTGGTTTCCTTCCATCCATCCATCTACCTGTCCTGCTATCATTTTATCTTGGAGGTGGCTTCACCCTAGATTGCTATGTGACCGCACATGCAGTCGAGGCTGGAGCGGGCATTTTGTGGCAGAGTCTGACCTTTTGACCTGATACCTTTCCAGCATGTCCAAGGAGCCCAGTTCCAACCTGGAGAGTGCCATGCAGATGCTCATAAAGACCTTCCACAAGTACTCGGGGAAGGAGGGTGACAAGTACACACTGAGCAGGGGTGAACTGAAGGAGCTGCTACTAGAGGAGCTGGGGACTTACTTAGGGGTAAGAGAAGTAGAGGCAAATATGTGGTTGTGCACTAACACACTGATGCCGTTTGCAAATATGCGACACATGCAAGTATGCACTCACATACTCAGACTTACAAGTTTGGACAAGCTTGTGCAGTGATGTATGCCCACACACACACATAACAGAGAACACATTCTTAACTCTCTCTCTCCCTGTGTTCCCTGCTGACAGACCTCCAAAGATAATGAAGCAGTTGAAAAGGTGATGAACGACTTGGACGCCAACAACGATGGGGAGGTGGACTTCACCGAGTTCATCATCCTGATGGGCGCCCTCACCGTCGCCTGCAACGACTTCTTCCTGGATGTCAAATCAGACGACAAACCGAAAGAAGGCTCAGCAGAGAAGAAAGATTGAATCAGTGCAAGAGAGAAAAGAGGGGGCAGAAAAGTGGGAGAGAGATGTGGAAAGAGGGAGTAGAGGAGGGGGGGAAAGAGGAGGAGGGGGAGGGAAGGGGAATGAGCTGTAAATCAGGAGAGATTTGTGTCTTATGCAATTTGTAAACAACTACAACTACACATGAGGGGCAGATAGTTTTAGGGTTCACAGAACACAGGGCATTCAGCAGGAGTAGTGTTTTCCCTCTGCAACTGTTTTTCATACCACAGCATATCCGGAGCTAGTCATACTGTTCTCAAAGCAGTGAGACTTTACACACAGAGCAGGGTATATTTCAGCTCCTTTCAACTCAAATATAACAGTTTAACAGTTCGGAATAAGGCACTGGAAAGAAAGGAAGTTTGCAGAACGCACAATAGGATGTTTGAGCATTTCTTGCACATGAATAATTTGTGAACATATATTAAGTTACAGATTATGATATTATTGTATGTACTCAGTGTTGACAACAATAGAATATGATTTATTCCCTTTACTTCGCCTATTTTGTAATCCTTTTTGGTAATAACCAATGCATTCTTCAAAATATTAAACATGGCATTTAACCAACTAATAATTGTGGTGTGTTTAGTTTCAAAGTGGTTTAAAATCCCTCATGCTGCACAAGCATTCATCGACATGTCAGGCATAAATTGCTGCACCTGGAAATCAAGTTGAATGGTGCAGAGAGAAACAATGTCAGCAACTTGTGAGTGTGTGTGTTGGTGTGTGAGAGCGTCCATGTCTCTCTCCGTGTGTGTGTGTGTGTGTGTGTGTGTATGTGTGTGTCTGTTTGTGTGTGTGTGTATTGGGGATTCCCACAGAGTAAACTGCTCCAGCTCACACATCCTGCCAACAATATCCTGCAAGTCTTGTTCCACTAGATATAAGCTGACCCAGATGTTTGACTTGGATCTGCATGGAAAACTTCTTCAAAAGAGAGAGAGACAGAGGGAGGAGAGAAAGAGAAAGAGAGAGAAAGAGAGAGAGGGTGTGAGGGTAAGAAAAGAAGAGTGTTTGTATGCATGTGTGTGTGTGTGTGTGTGTGCGCGCGCGTGTTTGTGAATGAAGGAAGGGCTGCATAAACGGGGAGTGAATCCAATTTATGGCGTACATTAGTCAAGTATGTAACTTGGAAAGCAGTGGTATAATCACAGAGGAATGTTCAAGTTGCTGTGACTCTTAGCACACTTACTGTCCCTCAGTGTCTAACACACACACACACACAGATCAGTAAATCAACACGTCTTCTTCCACCTCATTGGCTTTTACAGCTGCTCGTCACTTTTAAAATATGATGGAGGAACAAATGCTGAACAGCTGAATCACACATCCTCTGCTGTCAACCAGAGGGATTTTTTTTACTTCTGTGTGTAATTGTGCTTAAACACTAATGAGCTTAACCGCCTCCTCTTCCTACCTTCAGCAATATTAAGAAACGGAGTCCAGGTCATACAGCGTGTATAGGCGGGGTTCACATTCTGCCGTGTTCTCTAAAGGCGTCCTCTGATTGGGTGGTTTGAATGTTTGAGCTCGATACGCTCGGCCTGCAGATAGGTAAACGATTCAAAGAAAAAGTGTGCCAATGACTGTTAACCCTGTTGTGGCCTGAAGGGAAACAAGCAACCTGTTACGACTTTTAACAGACTTTGTTATCTGCATTCTCATTCCAAAGGACCAATAAGTCAGATGTTGTCATGTAGGACAGAAGACGGTGGACAAAATAATATAAACACCTCATAGAGAAAGGGAAGAGAGCTTAAATCCAACAAAAAACCTAAAATTCAAAATGAAGCTTAAAATGTGAGTTTTTAAGGCAACTGTAGGTCCATTGAGTAAAAAAGTAAAACATTAAATATGCACACATAACAGACATACAGTGGGCCTATATCTACAGTGGTGGAAAAAGTATTCATATCCTTTACTTAAGTATTTGCAGAAAATACTGAAAGTATAAAAAGTATTCATTCTGCAGACAAATGGCCTCTGTGAGCTTATTACATTACCTATATTATTGTATATACTAATGCATCAACAGCAGCATTACGATTTTATAGCTGGTCAAGTTGAAGTTAAATCTAACTACTATATATACTGTTTCCAACATAGGGGGTCAGTCCCCCGTCAAAGGGTCACAGGATAAATCTGAGGGGTTGTGAGATGATTAATAGGGGAGGAAAGAAGAAAATGCTAATTTAAATTAATAATTTACATTAATTTACATTAATAATTTACATTAATTTTTCTTTTCTCTGAAAAGTATAATATCTCCCTCTGAAATGTAGCGAAGTATAAAGTAGCATCAAATGGAAATACTCAAGTACAACCTAAGAAATGTGTTTAAGTACAGTACTAAAGTAAATTAATTTATATTTCACCACAGTATAACTGTAAGAGGGTTACAAACAGTGCTAATTTGACCTCATCTATGCCCTTTCAAATGTTACGTGTTATTTTGTGCATATTTTATATATATTGGATTCAAATTTAGTGCTCAGTAAACTCCAGTGTGATTGTGTATGCAGTAAAGAGTGAAAGAGAGGGGACTGATGTTTGTTCAATGAATTATGGGCTTGTAACTGAGGTGTTTCAGATGTGAACCAGAGTGAGACAGACATCCTACATGAGTTATGCTCTAGAGCAGTTACTTAATTCTCAGTCACATGGCCTTTTCAGCCACACTGGCACAAACAATAGCTCGAGGACATCCTGCAAACAGTATCTAAAAACACGCCTGACCTTGCCAGGTGAGCCGATTCAAACTAAAAGGAAAGAGTCTCTAGTGATGGATCACACATGGCAGGTGCTGCCTGTGTGAGGGAAGGAGATGAGCAACACAAAGCCAGGCCATGACACTGGCACCAAGCCTGAAGCATCTGATAAGGATGGCAGGAACACTTCAGTTACCAACAGTGCAGGTCAAGCGACACCCAGATGTCAAGCCGCCACGTCTATCAGGCAAGAGTCAGGCAGCGATCACGTCAGGCTGTCATGCAAGCCTGAGAGGATGGCATACACGTGAGAACGAAATGAAATTATTCATTCAAGTATACAGTAGCATGGGTGGCTCCAGGTCTATATTGTGTGATGATTAATTCCTTTCCAGGTATAGCTTGCTCCCTCTTGGGTAGAATTTGAGAAGGCCCGCTTTCCTCAGGTTCATGAAATCCATCTTGATAGAAGACTGGAGGGAGACCTAATGGCTGCAGCACACTGCCAGAGAGGAGTCAGGAAACATATGAATTACAAGAACCTGGCACTCCTAATTCATAGAGAACACGCTTTGATATATCAGGTACTGGTGGAAAATTTTCTCAAGTGCTGTACTAAAACACGATTTGAGGTACTTGTAGTTTACTTGAGTATTTTAATTTTATGTTAGTTTATACTACTAAGATTTTGTACTTTTTACACCACTGCATTTATGTGACATCTTTAGTTAGGATTGAGATAGAATATACCACATTGTTAAAGATTAAACCAGTGGTTCCTTATGTTTTTGGCTTGAGGCCCCTCAGTGTGTAGTTGGTACCCAATTTAATTTCACTTCAATCTAATAAGAGATCCCCCTCTAAACTTTTAACAACGTTTTTATTTAAATAACTGTTAAAACTGATCAATATTTCACACAAAAAAACAAAGATTAGGGAAAAGTCTAAAGGATGAAAACAAATCTGTGCAGAAGAACTTGTTTTGTTTCGTTTTTCATTTATTCATTAATCATTATCATTAATCGGCTCCTCAGATTTATCTCATGACCCTTTGGAGGTGCTGACCCCCAGGTTGGGGACCACAGTCACAGAGACCAATGTACTTTCACTTTACAACAATACTTCTGTAACTGTTGTTTTGATGCTCTTAGTTAAGTAAAAGTTAATACTTTTTACACTGATTGCAGGTTTATTTTTTATAGCTAGGCATGTAAAAGTGTCCTGCAACCAGTAAAATTCTTTAAAAGCTTGCAGCAAACATATCCAACACAACATACATGAGAAGGCTGAAAGCTATCTCTGGTTTTAGAGTAATGAAATCTAATCTGCGGGTCAATCGCCTTCATAAATTAAAACACAAACTCTTGGCACCAAACAGAGGCAAACAGTGATAGTGTCCTCCCTGAGAGTCAAGGAGAAACAGCTGACAGACAGACATCAGCCTCGAATAACACCAACAGAGTGAGGAAGGTAAAGGAGAGGGGCCAACGATACGTAAGAAAAGGAGGGAACGATGGAGGGATGGTGTCAATTGCTCTTTTTTTCCTTCACATTAAGCGTCCTTGACATGGGTGTAATGATACTACTCTTACTCTTTGTCTGTTTTTAGTGCTGCATTTACCTTAGATCTACACACGGCATAGGCTGGGGTGCTCCTTACAGCTACGTAAGGTGTTTGTCCTCAACATGATCCTTGGCTAAACCTAATCTCCCCCACTAGACCTTTCATCCTAACCTTTTCACTCGAGCCTGGCATAATAATCTATCCCCTTTTAGTGAAATGGAGTACTAAACTTCCAGACAAATTACCAAACCGCTGAAACCACAATCAAGCTCTTGAATTTAAAAGATTCATTATGCTCAAAAAATGCCCTCATTCAATCATCCCAGTATCTGTAAAGAGGCTGGTTCCTCAGGGGAGGATGAGACTGTTTGATGCTTTGATCATTCCCTTTCAGAGCACACATCACTGACACAAACATCCTCACATTTTGCTGTTCATGTAGTTGATTTATTGGGATCAGAGAGAAGCTCACAGCATTGAGATTCAGGACCTTTTATTCTAATCTGTTTTACAATGTTTCAGCAACAGGTTTCCACATGTCTCAATAGACAACGGTGGAAAATGTATAACAGTTGTGTCTCTGCATATAACTTTTTCTTCAGTGCTCCACCAAAAACTACAAACTGTCCTCCCCTTTAAATCTTCGAGGCGACATGAAAGTGGCAGACTTCCTAAAATCTAAAAGATAAGACAGAATTGAACCTTAGTTATACAATATTTTTATTTTTTTATTTTATTATTTAGTGTTGCAGATCGGGGCTGTCCGAATCATTTCCAGCATATCGCTAACTTAAGAGTACACATACCATGTTGAATGTTTGAGTTACATTTAGAATACATACAAAAAAATAAGACTTCAGTGAATATAACAGAGTTACCACTTCTCAATTTGGTGTTCTGCCTCTTAGCACCAAAGGGCATTAGACCCTGAGGGAGAACAGCTTTACTTTGTCTGAATGAACAATATTAAAAGGAGAGAGGTTATGACAAGTATGACATTTTTTAAGCTGATATATAAACAGTTTTTTCCTTTGTTTACTTTATTTCAATATTTTTCATTAATTACTTGCACTTGTATTTGTAAATTATCCTCATTTGTAGATCTAAAGACATTTGGCACAATAATTTGCAGGTTACAGATATCAACCAGAATGAACAGGCTAATTTGGCCAAAAACAAAACACTAAACTATTGTAAATCCATGGTCCTTCAAGCACATTGTATCAGGGTGAATCACTCACACTTCACAGTGCAGATAGTGGAAACAACGCCCTCATTCACAGTAAAACAGAGGAAATCATCAAGAGACAGTGGTTACAGACAACTAACAAGTATAAGCACATAAATTATAAATATGCTGCGAGCATAAACATAAAATAGTTGATCTTTGTTGTATCTCGAGTGGAATGATATGCTCTGTGCATGGATGTTTACCAACTGTCAGTTAAGAGGAAAGAAGGAAATTCTTTGTGTTGGCATGTAGGTGCAGTGTACCAGCACATCCACCAGAGGGAGAAAGAGAGCCACAAACTAATGAGGTTCACTCCATCTCAAAAACACTTTCTGCTTTATAGTAAATTCCACTCAGTAACAATAATAAAAAGTATCTGTAGCTTCTAACAGAGCCACACTGGATAATTAAAACATCACAACTGTGTGTGAGTCTTATTCCCAAACCAACCCCAAAGTCACATTTAATCATTAAAAGTGCCTCATCTTCTGCGCTGTGCTTCCCCCTTCTTCACATGCAAAACAACAGCTTAGATCATTTGCATCAGCTGCACATCAAAGTAAAATAAAAACATCCAGAATTTCAAAGTGAGCTGGGAATATTTTTGATCAAATAAAACGGTCATACAACCAAGTTATAAAGTGAGACTTGCTGAAAAGGGCAGAGCAGTAAAAGTACACATTGATCAGGGGTGAGGCAATTTTTGGAAACCTTTTTATCCCTGTGGGGCCAGAGGTGTGTTTGTTTTTCTATACCTAACTAAACTGGGCTTTGGTGGAATCAGTGGACGCGAGGAACTGGGTGCAGCAGTGTCATGTGCTCTGCTCCATTGAAAGGCAGACGCTGAGCGCAGTAGTGGTGTACCACCTCTGGGATGCTGGGGAACACGCAGCTGCTCTGGTCCAGGGTGTAGCCGTTTTCTTTGGTCTGGGCGACAATGATATGAACACAGCCTTGGCTCGTCCTGAGTCACACCAAGGAGAGGAGATGCAAGAGTTAACCAATTATATAGGCCTATCATATATCCTGGTGTTATCAGCCTGAGAGAGACACATTAAAAGATAACTAAAAACATAAAAGCAGAATTACTTTGTGAAATTAAATTGTGTATGGAGCTTAATTTGCAATATACAAGTTTGATCTTATTGATATCACATACTGTTACATGTCATCTTCATTAATGAACAATCAAAAAGCTGGCATCATTCTATTGTGGTCCACATATCTCAGCAATGTGTTAGTCTGACTGTTGCTTCCAAAGAAGTAAATCTTTTAAAATTTGTCACAAATATATACTTAACTTTTTATAAAAAGCTACATAATATCCTACAGACTGCTGGGCACTGTAGGTTTGAGCAAACATTACTCAAACAGGGGTAAATTGTGAATTTATGAGGGACTATTGTTTGCTGAGCGTTGACACAAACTTTGTACTGCATTTAATGTGTATGTGTAATGTATTGTTGGTTATAGTCTTTTAAAGGAATTTGCTGACAATAATAAAAATACTGAATATTAACAGACTGATCCTTTAAAAAGTTACGGTAAATGTAAAAAAACTGTGTAATACACAACTGGACCACTTCCATTTTAATCCTTTCCTATGCTGCAGGATGTGAGAAGTAAGTCATATTTCTTCCCTTGAGACGCTGCTGATGCAATTTCAGGTAACACTCACTTGAGGGCGATGGAGTACTTGCTGTTGTCCGACTCGCTGTTCCTGACCAGGAAGCTGGCCTCTTTGCAGGACTGCAGCTGAAACTCCGCCTCCTGACGAGTCACACAGCCATGGTACCAACTGAGACGGAGGGTTGGAGTGAGGGGGATTACACTTTGTCTGCTATTGATCAAGTCTAGAACATCATTTCAAATAAACCCCTTGGAAATGAGCTTCACCCTTACGTAACACTGAAATGTTCTGAAATCCTGGAGGTTTATTGCAAGGATAAGATATTGAGACACATTCTGACATTTAAATTCCTTTTAAAAAATGGATTACAGTATTAAATATTCAAGTTTTATGTAACTATAGCAACATCCCATCATTTAAGTACACACTTCACCTCCTCACCTCTGTTTTTCCAGGGGCAGGGAGGGGTCAACACAGCAGGCCTCTGTGTCAGGGTTGCTGCCGGGGGTGGAGGATTGCGACAGGGTTGGAGGGGAGGATCGCAGGATCTTCTGGGTCCAGCTTTTCTGCCTCAGATGCTGATGCTGATGCTGATGCTGATGCTGCTGCGGCTGGGCTGGCGGATGCTGCGGCTGCCTGGTGAGCGTCGGGTGAGGCGTCTCATCTTTGGCTGGGCGTTCAGGGCTGTCAAACTGTGCTGGGGGAAGAAGAGTGATGAGAGAGATATGAATTTATGGAAAGAAACTCTGTGCCTGAGTTTGAACTGGGTGCTGAAGCCTCCAGTAAATATAAAATAAAAAGATAGCAGTTTGATGATTCATGCAAGATGTTATTCAGTATGCTGTTGGTCTATGCGGCATATAAAATATACATGTGAGAGCAGGGCTGAGTTGTTTTTTGAACAAATATACTTCATATTGATCGAAGACAGAGTAGAAGCAGGGTTGGAACTGTATTATATGAATGTTACTGGTTACTAGTTCAGCAAAGTGTTTAATAGGGGAGAGTCAGTGATGTATTACTTTTAGTTACTTTTAAAAGTGGTGCTATTTGAGGTTTAAAAATTTGGATTAGAACATTTAAAAGTGCAGAACATTCAGTTCAGGTGTGCACAGAAGCAAACATGTCCTCACTTTCCCATTAGTAATACGGCGAGAATTGGTGCAAAACTTCTTGGATATTATTGTGTCTGCGATCAAGTGAGATGTGGTGTAATAAAACTTCTGATGTACCTGACAGAGTTCTGACAATATGCTCCTTCTTCCACTCCCAGGGCAGCTCGTACTCAATGGAGGGTCGAGGATCCAGCTCGGGCCGCGTGATTGCTGTCCTGTCATTGTCAGTGCTTCCCTCATACGGAACATCGTATATCTGTAAGGGCACGGGCTGACCTTCCTCCACCGTTCCCTCACCTGCCTCCATCAGCACACACACCTTCAGCAGGTCCTTGGAGCCCCGACGTCTAATCTCTTATAGGGGGAAAACAAGGGATTTGAGATTAAAAGAGATGAAAAGACTATTGACAGGCTGCAAGATTCATCAACCAGTGCCAGTACGACTTCTAATAAGGCAATCCTTATAAGGGATTGAGTAGGTTTATCAGTGGTTAATGAATCATTTAGAAATGCTTCATAGATAAATTACAAGCCACTAATAAGAACAAATTTGAGGTTGCCAGGTTATCACAGCCCCATTTGCTGGTGTTTATCATTTCTATTTGCAATAATTCTGTTACGAATGTTGGTAATCCATTAATAAATGCTGAATAAGTTGCAAATGAATAAATTTTGGCCAAGAAATGTGTGGTTATACGGCCAATCACAACCTGGCTGTCCAGACGTATTCTCATTAATGGCTTATAACTGATCAATAAAACATTAGTAGATTTATTAACTATTATCAAATCCATGTTACAATTTTTAAACCCTATATAAAAGGTGTTTTATTGGAAAGTGGTACCACCATTACTAATGGTCTATGATGATGATGTGAAATTGTGAATGACTCATTTATCAGCTATCTGATTTACACTCTGGTGCTGCTGGGTACTCTTAATATGTTTTCATTGGTTGATGAGGAATAAAGGTGGATGGCAGCGCTAACACTGTAAGACAAATCTGCCCCGGGTGCGGCGTTTTTGTCAGAATTTATTAATGTTCACTGCTGTTGCACATTAGTATCTTATCTTGTTTTGTCCTTTTTATAATTATACCGCCTAAAATATCAAGTTTGATTGTAGTAATTGATGTCAGCTGCTATACAGAGTGTGAATAATAATCCTGCCCTACTCACTCATAGCCTTTCTTATTGAGTCATAGTGACATCAGACTCTTGCTTACTTCCTCAGTATGATTTAAGCCTCATAAATTGACTCAGTCACATCATCACATCCTCTCTAGAGTTCTCTGAGGAGGCCTGGAAGTAGCATGGGCACTGATTGAAGTAAAATCTACTGGAGAGCGCTGCAATAAAACATTTTCACGTTCACAGCAGGCTATTGTGTAACCCTTTTAGTTGAAACAATGGAGTGATGGAATGAAAAGGTCAGGAGAGCATGTGATTGGACGACGGACCACCAAGCTTCCTAAATGCTGGGAAGTTTTGATAAATGGTCAAACAGGTCCATATAGGGGGTTACACAGAGCTGCGTCCGAGAGGAGGTGGGGGATGGGGGAGGCACTGAGGGCCAACTTCCTTTTTAGAGAATAGTACCAGGAAACAGAGACAGGAAAAAGGAAGCAGGAGCAGGAAACTGCACCCATTGTCCGAACGCAACAGAGTTGCCATGGTCACCCCACGGGGTACAGAGAGCACTAGGAGAGCGAGTTCATGTTCTCGCTCCGCCTGGAGGGACTGGAAATGAGAATTCTGTCATTTACGCGAGGGCTGTGTGTTCAAACACAGGTGCACTGATTCATTGATGACGGTAAGAGCTGAATGAAATATCACAGCTCTTACCATAACAGCTGACAAGAGAATGAAGTAAGAGTATTGTTGACAGTTTTACCAGTAATCATCTGCTGGGCATCGTAAGGCTCCATGTAACCATCGTTCTCCCCAACCCTCTCTGCCTCCCTTTGCTCTCTGGTCTTCTGAGCATCAAAGGGATCTGCGTAATCCTCAAGGATGATCACCTGGATCAGAAAATGCAGGGAAATTAATATTTTGTTTGTGCATAATTAGATACTTTTCAGAATAAGTTTTCAGAATGGCACCACATAATATAGGGCTGAACTGATACTGCAGGTTGACGTAGATAGCTATAAATGGTTGAATCGTCCTGCTTCTACCAACCCTACTGAAAAAAGAAAAGACAAATAGACCATGGATAGATCCAGGATCAAATGTCTGGTATGAAAAAAATATTGTAACATTATCCACTTTTATATTTAATTAATATTGTTAAATATCATGCAGTTGAAAATGGGCTTGTAACTGTGATTTTCTTGATTAATCAACTTATTGTTTTGCCTGTAAAATGTCATAAAATAATGAAAAATGCCCTTTATATTTGCCAAAAGTCGTGTTTATCCAAACAACAGCCTAAAAATCTAAATACCACCTGAGAAGCAACAAATGGCAAAAGTTTAGTCTTTTTTGCTTGAAAAAAAGGGAGTGATTAACAGTTAATCAATCATTACGTCATTAATAATGTCTTTAAAATCAGTTCAAATGACCACATTTGGAACATGATGGGTGGTGTCAATGTGGCTCGGACATAAAAAGATGATGAACTAACTGCAGTAAACTACAAGACACGCTTCAGCTAGTCAGAAGAATACCTGACACCGAAGCCCATTCACATCTCTCTGTTAACAACCTCTGTTCTACTACACCAGTCATGCCTGACTGTCTTGTCACCTTATCAGTGCCATATAATTTCTTGTCTGTTTTACGAGCTGCTGGCCAAGAAACAATGGTAAGTCGTAAAAGTGGAGTTGTCTTTCTAATCACTTCCAGTTGTGCTCCCTTGCCAAAGAAATGTTGGCATTTGTTGAAGTTTAAATAAAGTAGCAGATGCTTGACAGGCTGAAACTCAAGAGCATAGTTACCGAGGTTTAGTGGAACAGATGCAGAGTACAACGCAGCTACACAGACACACACACATTTAAAGTATGTTACACCTTCAGGGAATCTAGAGATAGACACACAACAGTCACTCGACCAATCAAACCTTATGGTTGTTGCAAAAAATTAATTTGATATCAAGAAAAAGGGATTAACTCCCTTTCTGAAATATAAAACTCCCATTTTATTATTCCTCTCTTTTATCTGTCTTTTTCTCACCATCTCTCCACTATCACTATCCCTGACTTCTCGATCTTTCTCCTTTTTTTTTCAAAGCCAAGCTGGAGGGGACTTGGGTTAGCGCCTGAGTGTCAAATAACACGATGCTTTTTATAACATGATAGCCTTCACCAGGGGGCCTGAATCTAGTGAAAGAGAGGGATGAGGCCGGGGGAGGGAGAGGGGTGAGAGAAGGGGAATACTGAGCCAGATTACACACAGGACAGGAAGGTAAAGCCTCACGTCTGACCACAGCTTTGTATTCGAGGCGGGGAAGGTGGGTGTAAGGGTGAGGGGTGGAGAGGAAGAGAAAGAGAGATAGAAAGACAGACTGGGAGGAGTGGACACAATGGGGATAGTGGAGACAAAGCAGAGGGTGAAACTGAAACAATAATATCAATTTTCAGAGCTTGGACTGGGTCATTGCTACTTCATTGTCAACAGTATTGATGACACCACATCTTATTTCTGCTGGAGCGGAGGGTGTTGCACTGCTGCTAGGATTAGAGAGAGCTGCCACATATTAAATGACTTCTGTTTGATCTCACATCTCAACACCAAAAATCTATCTGGTGTCACACTGTAAAATACTCTTAAAGTCAGAAGTAACAGCAACAAAATGTACTTGAGGTATCAAAAGTAAAAGTAGACTTCTCATTAGGCGAAAGGATTATTAAGTTAAGTGTCATTATATTATAACTATCACACTATAATTCCCAGTGGTGGAAGAAGTATTCAGATCAATACGCCAATCTAAACATACTCTGTTACAAGTGAAAGTACAAAAGTATTCTCATTGCTTAAAGTACCAAGAGTAAAAGTACTCATTATGTAGATTGAGACATTTCAAAATAATAAATTAGATAATAGTTATTGATACATTCATGTGTGAGCATCACTAATGTTGAAGCTGGTAAAGGTGGGGCTCATTTTAATTACTTTATATACTGCTGAGTATCTTAATCTGATAATGTATTAGATGGTTATATTTTGTATTAGAAGGCAAATCCTGACCTGTAAAGTAACCAGTAACTCCCGTTGTCAGGTAAAGTAAAATAAATGTAGTGGAGTAGAAACATAAAGTAGCAGAAAATGGAAATACTCAAGTAGAAGTACCTCAAAATTGTACTTAAGTACAGTAATTGAATAAATGTTAAATAAACTTACACTACTATAGCTATTTCATTTTATACCAGATTGAGGTTAAGCAATTTTTAACTACTTTATGTACTTTTCGCTAAAGTAATCAATAAATGAAATACGTTTTTTATAAGTAATATCTAAAGCTGAAAAGTAGAGTAGCTTCTGAAATGTACTTAAATATAAAGTAAAATACAACGGAAATACTCAAACGTGCAGTACTTAAATAAATGAAGCTAATATTCCAATCCTAAATCATATTCATTATTCTATCAATCAGATTTTAAAAAACACGAGCAGAGGGGGAGAATAAAAATATGGCAAAAGTGAAATATCTGTTGCCGCAGATTTTTAGGTTAAAAGCCTCCTATGATGACATGTGGCACAAAGGGAGGATAAACTCCAGCTAAAAGTTAAACGGACCCTCTCTGGGTGGAGGTCGAGTTGGTTACTCACCGTTTCTGTCTTGCACTGAACCGGTTTCTCTGCTTCAGGTACCACTTGGTTGGTGATGGTGCTGCTGTTGAAGTTGGGGCTTTTGTCCTGTTTGTCCACTCTGATCAGCCGGCTGATGTAAGCGTTGGCAGATGAGGAGCTTTTCAGGGGTCTGTGCTGCTCCTCAAACACGGGCTCCGCTTTGGAGTTCTTGCGACTTTTCCCGGACAGGAGAGTGTCCCAAACTTTCCCATCTTTCGGGGGGCTCACGCCGTTTCTACTCAACTCCACGGCGGAGTTTTTTCGGTTTCGTCCGGACAGGAGAGACCCAACACCTCCTCCTCCACCACCTGTGCTGTCGGCAGAGGAGTTTTTGCGATGGGCCGTTTTGGAGCCGGTTGTTTTGGTACCTATGCTGGCCACCAGCCCGGCTTTATTGGCTCTTGGTTGTGAGCCTGATTCGGAGGCTGAGCGGATCCTGTCGGTACCATTCTTCAGATTGATGGGGAACTCCTTGAACCACTTTGCCATTGTAACTCAGATGGAAACCAATAAACCTCTCTGCCTGCTCCGACACCTTTTAGCGCCATGCACCAAGGGCCCCAGAGACGCACCTTTAGAAAAATCACAGCCTTTCTAACAAAAGACTTCCGTTGCTTTATTCTAGGATAGAGCCTGTATGGACCGCAGGATCTCCACACCTCACTTTAAAGCATGTCATAAATGATGTCAAAAGTCAGTGGCTCTATTCTTAAACCTCCTACTTTAAATAAGTAAAAGCCTACAGGGCACATGCCTTTTGGCAAAGGGGAAAAAAACCAAATACCACTACTTTATCCCATTTGTGATTTTCTTACACCTGTTCCTTCTTCTGCTCAGAGGAAAAGTTTATTCCCTTTGGATGAATAGGTGTCTTCGGAGTGGGAAGACCCGAAAGAAGGCAAAGTTCTTCTTGCTTCTGATTTGAGGTCCCATTCCCAGAGTGGCTTATCTGGTCTTTCACAAGCTTTCACTGTCGCAATGAGACTCCTGACTGCGCCTGGAGTACAGAGGGGAGGGGGGTATCTGAAGTTAAGAGGGGAAGGCAGGACGGGGTGGGCGGTGATAAGATTTTAATTGTAGACAACTTGATAGAATAAGCACGTGAGGAGTTCAGTATTCTAGTTTAGGCTGACCTATGCCCAGGTAAGGATAGTGACACCTTTATTATTCCATGGCTTTATAATTATTGCAGCCTCTGTTTTAATTGTAACAAACAACATAATAATTATAAACAATTAAAAATGATTATTGATTAAAGAGGCAGTATAGGGGCCTCCTGGAGTGCTGATATTTCAATAAGAAATTGATTATGCTCTGACACATGAATAATAGGCTACCACAGACATGTGTGTAGTGTAGCCTACATCCATTCATGGGAAAGTTTTTATTTATTTATTTTTTATTTTTTATTTTTTTAGATGATTAGAATTGAAGTTGACAGTTATATTATTATTTTGATGTTGGACGTTAATTCAATATAAATCATAATGTCACTTGGTAATGTGCTTAATTGGCTGTCTAATTAATGTCCACCCCTTCTTTAATTGTACAGGGTAGCGTTGGAAAATGGTCTGTTCTGAGCCGCTCCACATACACCAGCGAAAGGTATGACACTAATTCTACAAACTCAACAAAACAGTATGGACGGCGGCAACGCGGGTAGTTTTCCAAAACACAACATTGCAATGTCATATACTATACATTGCAATATGTGTTTCAATCAGAATGGTTTTAATACGTTTAATAACAATGAAGTATACTTACCGACACCCCCATTTTTGCGGCGAGATGTAACCTTCCATGGTGCGCGATACTCCTGCCTGTCCCTCTTTGTCCGGTGGCGATACAAGGCCATGATAATTATGGCAAAATTTGCGTTTTTGAATGAATTATAGTTGAATGGTGGATCAACAAGCATACACCGAGTGAGGACGGGTTTGCTGGCAATGACACACCAGAGAGTTTCAATTTAAAGGACAGCAGAGCGAGCAACGGAGAAAGGGTACAGTTTGCTTCCAAGACAAGTCTGCAAGATGGCTAGCTATCTTCAGTGGCATGCTAACGTTAGCTAGCAAGCTAATGTTAGCATAGTAAACAACAGTTTAACAAAAAAAAAAATAATTGCTTTACCTTTTTTTTTTTTTTATATACATGCTGTGATAAGTGGAATTGAATGCACATTTTCACGAATGAATGTAGACAAGACAGGCCACGGTTTCGGTTAATGTTTCGGTGAAATCTCAACGCTGCTAGCAAAAAGCCACATTGAGTAACGTGGCTAGCTGGTTAGCCAAGGTAGTCACTAGCTAGCTGGTCGAGTTGTTGTTTTTTTTTTTTTTTTTTTTATTTGCTACACATCTGTAAGTGATCATTTAGAGAGGGAGGTGGAGTGGCTCTCTAACGTTGCTTGTACTGGCAGTGGAGCCAGGGCTAACAAGCGACCAGAAACTGACATCAACACGAACTTGTGATAAATAACGTGAACCAGTTCCGTTTTACCTGACGTTTTATTGGGTGACCAAATCCCGGCGTGACAGACACCCAAAGATTTGCAGCTGGAAAAAGGAGTTTGCAGACCTGGGCCGGCGTTTTTTATTTTATTTTTTATATATATATAAATATAAATACCATCCAGTTAACCGATACGTGTCAGCTATACGCTGTGGGGATCATTATTATTATTATTATTATTATTATTATTAGCGGTATTGACATGACCTGAAGGCAGATTCCACCTACTCGGCTCATAGCCTTTCCAAGACGTCGTCATTTTTAACTTTTTTTTTCTTGCATATGAACGGTGATATGCCACTTCACCGACAGTCATATTAGCTAATGGCTGCCGAATCGGGGAGACTACTGGCGGGACAAGGAAAACGCAAAGGTAGGAATTGATTTCACCCATCTCCCAAATCAGATCGGATTCATCCATTACTGCGCTGCAATGGGCTGCACTGGTGCTGTTAGCAAAAATCCCTTCTCGCCTCCCCCATATGTAAACTTCACGACTGTCTCCGGTGGTGGCTGTTTCCTCACAGAGTGGATCTGTGAACGGGGTTCATGTCTTAATCTTGCTATCAATGTACCTTCAGCTCCGTTTCCTCGTTCTCATGTCTTCGTCTTTTTTTTTTTTTTCCTGTCTACCCTCATTGACCTTACCTCTTCTGCCTCTGTTTGCGGCCTCTCTCCCTCTCGCCTGGGTCATTTTGGTCTGCCTGGGTCATTTGCGATTCAAGGCTTCATAACCTTGGTGATGATAACGCCTGGATGTTCAGCATCTTGTCCTCATGCCAGTCTATGTCCCCATCATTGAATCCATCCCAACTGTTGGACTTGAAAAAAAAAAAAAAAGAGGCCCTAGGTCTAAAGCTGCTCCACTCTGTCACTAAGGGGTATTGGCCAATCCAAATGTGATGCTGCACTTGATTGGTGGTGGACCAATAGCATGAGATATGGAAGCCTATTTTTGTTGTGGCTAATATTACATTTCCCCCTTTCCACCCCTTCCCTCCATATTTTACTATTTCAGCTTCACAGATGAAGAGCCCGGAGAAGAAGAAGGCGAGGAAATCCACCACTCAGGTAACTGTTGTTTCTGGAAATTAGAATTTCATTACTTTGAACTGTTACTTGGTTACTTTTCTGTTCTCACATTCTCACAGTATGTAACAAGTGGACCTTGAAAACTGCCTAAATTACACTTTAAATTATGCGGTGTCGTATAAGTAATAAAAGAACATTTACTCTAGACAACAGTCAGCCATAACATTGTTATCATGGCACCTGTCAATGGGTGGGATATATTAGGAAGCAAGTGAACATTTTTGTCCTCAAAGCTGATGTTTTATAAGCAGGAAAAATGGGCAGCGTGAGGATTTGAGCGACTCTGACAAGGGTCAAATTGTGATGGCTAGACGACTGGGTCAGAGCATCTCCAAACCTGCAGCTCTTGTGGGGTGTTCCCGGTCTGCAGAGGTCAGTAAGGTGCTCCAAGGAAGGAAAAGCAGTGAACCGGAGACAGGGTTATGACCAAGGCTCACTGGTGCACGTGGGGGAGCGAAGGCTGGCCCGTATGATCCAACAGACGAGCTACTGTAGCTCAAACTGCTGAAAATGTTAATGCTGGTTCTGATAGAAAGGTGTCAGAACACACAGTGTATCACAGTTTGTTGCGTACGAGGCCACATAACACTCTATCTGTGTATTTCCTTCTCCTTTGTTTTAGGCGGCGGGGTTCTCCCACCTCACTGAGTTTGCGCCGCCTCCTACCCCCATGGTGGACCACCTGGTTGCCTCCAACCCCTTTGACGATGACTTCGGGCCCCCATCCCGACCTACTGGGGCAGGTGGCCCAGGTAGTGCTCCATTTCTTCCCAGCCCAGGCGCAGGCGGAGGAGGTGGATATGGAGGTGGAGGCAGAATGGCCGGAGGAGGAATGGGGTTCATTGGAGGTCCAGGAGGACCAGGTGGCGGCCAGCCCGGACGGAGGCCACCATTCGGCCCTCCATCCAATGCTGGGCCTCACCACCAGCTAGGCTTTGGAGGAATGCCTGGCTTTGGAGGTGGTGGTGGGGGCGGCAGCGGGGGAGGAGGAGGAGGTGGCGGATTCCCCCCTGGTGGCCCTTCTCAGTTCAATATGCCACCTAACTTCAGTCCACCCATGCACCCCGGGCCAGGTTTCAATCCCATGTTGTCTCCGGGGGGTATGGGAGGTCCTGGAGGAGGGGGACCACCCCACCCTCGGTTTGGGATGCCTCCACAGCAGCAGCACGGACAGGGTGGACATCCATTTAACAGCCCACCATTACCTGGTGGAGGAGGCCCCAGAGGACCGCCACATGGCCCCCTGCCTCCCATGGGAGGAGGCATGGGTCCTGGGATGAACATGATGGGTGGCATGGGTGGTGGCCCTGGAGGCAACATGGTGGGCGGTTTGCCAGGTATGCCCCCTCAAGGACAGTTCCCTCCCTCACAGGATGGCCCCTACCCAGGCCCCAGTCCACCAGGACCAGGCAACGAGGATGGAAAGAACTTTGGTGGAGGAGGGGCGCCGCCTGGGCCCCAACAGCAGCAGCAACAGCAGCAGCAGCAACAGCTTAACCTAAATCCCAACGGCCCCCCTCCTAATAATACCACTCCCGGCCCTCCTCCCAACTCTGGCCCACCACAGCCAGGGGGAGGCTTCCCTGGCCACCCTGATGTCCAGCAGCCTAACGCCAATACACCTGGTCAGCCTCCCTCAGCACCGCCCCAGCCTAATCCCAACTCTTCTCCTACTGGTCCCCTGAATGGATCAGGCCAGCCCCAGCATCCACCACCCAGTCAGCTACAACCCCCTAGCAATACAAACACCCCCAACTCTAACAACTCTACCCAGCAGCAGCAGCAACAATCCACCCCACCTAACTCAGCCCCCGGCTCCACCCCTTACAACCAGCAGAACAACACTCCTGGCGCTGGTGGTCCCATGCCTAACGCGGCCCCCAATTCAGGTCAGAACAACATGACCAACAACAACGGAGGCAACACTCCCGGCAGCAACCCCAACCCCCCTCTAACTCCACTTCGACCCCGAACACGCAGTCCCCCCTGCCCCCTGGCCCGGCTGCTCCCTCGACTGGACCCGGTTCTGGCCCCGGAAAACTCGGTGGCCCCGGGATGGTCTTCCCCTGCGGCCTTTGTATGGCGGAGGTGCATGACGATCAAGATGCCATCCTGTGCGAGGCATCGTGCCAACGCTGGTTCCACCGTGACTGCACAGGCCTGACAGAGCCAGCGTACGGGCTGCTGACTCGAGAGAGTGCTGCTGTTTGGGCCTGTGACTTCTGCATCAAGACCAAGGACATCCAGGCTGTGTTTGTGCGCCAGGGATTAGGCCAGCTGGTGGCAGCTAATGAGAGTTGAGGAGAGAACGACAAAGGAGCAGCGCGGAGGTGCGATGCATAAGGACAAATAGAGACATTGTTTGCTCTGATGTAATTGAATGACCTGTGTGTCACGTCAGCTACTTGCCCAACTTTTCTCTTGACTAGCCCTTTACTTGTTCACTACACAGAGAAAACACACTCATTGACGTTCATGCTTATATATAGCACTTTGAGTGTGAGGCAAATGCTTTTCTCCAACCCCCCCCCCCTTCCTAAAGGAGTCAAATCATGATGAATGTTAAACTACACGGTCCTTCAGACATCTAGCCTGCCAACCAGCAAAGCACTGACACCAACACACTACCTCACACACTTTGTGACTGACTGGCACGGAGGCTCCCGCACTGACTGACTGTGATTGACTCGCCACACTCGTGCACCACATGAGTATGATGACATTTCAAACACACATACACGCAAACCCACGTAATGCGGGGACAGTAATGTTAAAATATTCCTCTATTGATAGAGTGACTCAAAGCATCAACATTATTCTCAGATTTTTCACGGCTTTAAATTAAAACAGACATGGATCTTTTTAAAACTGAAAAAAAAAAAAAATGATTGAAAGAGTGCCTGAAAATCTAAAAGGGTAGTCACAGCTTTATTTGCTATCAAAATGCTTCATTCTAGCACTGCCCTCTCACATTGTTAGCCTTTTTACTGCAAGCAAGTGAAAGAAAATGGAAAAATTCATCAGTTCATTCATCTCGAGCATATTGTGAAGCAGATCATTGGAGGGGGAAAAAAAAATTGTTTTCCAGTTCAGTTTATCAATTCCTGCACACACACACACACACACACACTTTCTCTTTGACTTCTTGTATCTGTTTTTTTTTTTTTTATTTTAAAACCCAGCGCTGATTAATCCAAAGGAGACCTGGGCCGAGATATCCATACCTCACAGAGAGGATTTTACCACCAAAATAGTTGTAAATATTAGGACAAATCATTTGTCTGGAACTCCCATCAGTTGTGAACATGCCAGAGAGTTGACCAATGAACAAAATTATAAGTTGAACTTATGTGTCTTGGTTGTATACAGTATGACGTTTTGGGTTTTATACAGTACATTTGAGTCAACCATTTCTTTTTATCTCTGCAGTACACAAGAATTGTGAAATCAGTGCTTTTGGATGGTGTTGGCATAGCAAGTAGTGACATCATGTCATATCAGATGTGCATAGTCCTTTTTTTAAAAATTAAAAAAAAAAACAGGGGAGGGGGGTGCATGTGAACCAATGCAGTAACTGTCTGATCTGTTTATGTTTATATTCTGGCCTCTGCCTTCTTGCAACAGGCCTTGAAGTAGACCAAATAACTTAAGAGCGGAAAAATACCCATTTTTCACATTTCTGTCACGGTATAAGGTGTTTATAACTATTCTTCCTTCTCTCTTTCCTTATTTTTCTTTATTCAATGTCCGAGTTGCCTTTCTGTTCTTGCTCTCTCAGCTGTTCCTTTTTGATTTTGTACTGGTATTTGTGCTGTGCTCTTGCTCTGCTTTGGCGCCTCCTAGTGGAACCTGGAGGAACCAGTGAGTCCCACACCAGGTGGGGAAGGGAAAGGTACTGAACTCTGAAGTAAAGACAGATATTTTTTTTTGTACTTGTCCATGTCTGTTTTTATTCACATTTTTAATTTGTTTGCTAATTGTTGTATTAAAATGAGGGTTGGAAAACCCAATGAAACAGATAACAATGTAATTTCTTTGTCGTAATGCTCAAAATTACTGTTACGTTATCTTTTTATTAACTGTAGTTCATTGCGTTCAACCATCACTGATTTTCTTAAAGGTTTTATTATCAGTTTATTGTGAAATTTTAAATTATTTAACATTGTTTAACACTTTATTTGTGAAGCCTTTAGTGATAGTTGTTCTTGCTGACCTGTTTAAAAGGTAAAACATTATTTTATGGGTCTGTAGATTCTTAATAATGTCCTCATAATTTACCAAAACTATGTAATTTATCACCAATTATAGGTCAAACAAAGATCAGAAGGTCAGCTGGACATGCAAAAATATAAAAAAGATAAAGATGTGTAGATAAACATTCAGCAGGTCTTTCAAAGAAATTCCTCTGGAAATCAAAAACCACTGTTACCTCGATACAGCTCGAAACTTTATGTTAAGTTACATATTTCTTTCAAGAAAATGTCAATCAATTATTAGATTATTATGATATTTAAGATAATTCTGATGAGTTCACATAAACACTTAAAAGATACGATAGGGCTGCACAATATGAAAAAAAAATATCACGATAATTTTGACAGATATTTCGATATGATTCAGTGTTAGAATAATATTTTGTATCATAATTATAATTTTAACTGAATAAACTACTAAAATCATGATTTGATGTGTCTGTAGTACCAAACGGTATGTTTTCTTACATCTGTAGAAGATTAGTAGACCAGGGCCTCTCTGCAGTACTTCATGCTGTTTTGTCACACAGTTTAACTTTATCAATTGGGATTTTAATAATATTTCCAATAATTATGCACCCCTATTGAATATAAATAACATGATTTTCCACTTGAGTTTTTTAAAGTCAGGTCAATTATACAATAGTTTGATAATTACAAATGCAATTTAATGGCTATGCAACGGTGTATTAAAGTAAATGGCTTCTGGAATTCCTTTTTTCCTGTCAATAGTTAATTAGTTTTGCCTCAGCAGTGATCAGTATTTGAACGCTGGTATTGGATAAGATTATAGCCCAATGCTGGCTTGCATTTCCAAATTGATTGAGAAATTATTTCCCATAACACCACTGTGAAAATTGGTCTCACACACACAGACACACACACAGACTCCCAGCATTCACCCGTGCGTACGGAGTCGAAACTGAGTCCGCAGCAGGCGCCGCCTCTCGGGGAGCCTCCCACCAATGGAGTCGGTCCTGAGGCGGGACGATGACTATCCGATGTGCTGGCAACAGGTTGCACTGGTAGCAAGGGACGGGGGGGGGAAGAGAGAGACATTTCCCGATGTCCTCAGTTCATTGAGTAACATCTTCTTCATCCCATCAACACTGTACACAGAGCTGCTGCTGCTGTTAGACCCACACAGGAGTACTGAGGAAGGTTCGGATCAGCTTTCACAGGTGCAGTACAATAAGTATCCTACTACTTTTTTTTACACAGCTGCTGCCTATTTACTGTACATTTACTTTTGTAGGGGGCGGGAAGTGAGCAACACTGTAAGCTCTGTTTTGCTGAGCGGGCATGTTTTATTCCATTTGGACAAGCAGGGATGGACACCTGTGGCTTTGTGATTAGATTTGGCAGCGGACTTCCCATGCTCAGCTTTTTACTTACGGTAATGACAACAAGCATCTGGCGGGAGGGGGGGCTTGTGTTGTTCGCTTTTTCAAACGTTTGCTTGCAGCTCTGTGTGTGTGTGTGTGTGTGTGTGTGTGTGTGTATGCGCCTATAATTGGATCTCACCGCGCTGCGTAAAGAGGATATGAGAGGTTATTATAGTAGGTAAACGCTTCTAATAGGATGCGACGGCGTCTCGCAGCAGGTGCGTCGCTTGTTTACCTTGCTGCTCAGCTCGTGGTCCCGCTGGCTCGAGTAAACAACCCGGTGGTGGTTTCGACGCGCACGCACCGATACTGGCTGACCGGATAGGTGGGTGTGACGCAATTAATCCAGGAGCAGACAGGTGCTGGGGGGTGGGGGCGGGGGCCGGGGTGCGGGTACTCTGCTGTCATTGTTTCTCCCGTCTAAAGAGTCTTTATTTGACGTGTTTATATGAATTTGAAAGTGATATTATTTAATTTATCTGTCAAGCCGAGTAGATAATCTCACGCCTGCCAAGAAAATACAATGTAAGGCTTTTGTATTGATTAGATGTACGTGGCTGTAAATAAAGGTCAGATAAGCCTCATATCCTTGACACTTTAGCTTACAACTGATAACCCACCAGCTGGTGAGGTTGTTGCTGTTCCCTGATCCCTTTCAGTTACATGTAAAAAAAATAATTGGTAACACTTTGTTTGGATGTTACATTTTAAATAAAATTTCTGGCATTACACCACTGTGATTAAGGTTTGGTTAGGTTAGGTTTAGGCACAAAGAAACATCTTGGTTAAGGGTATGTTCATGAATCGTCACATATACTCAGATAACATACACATAGATATATCTGTTAAACATCTGCAGACAAAGTAAAACAGTTAAAATGTTACAAATGTCTGCAGACCATCCAGGTAAAGTGTTAACATGCTTCAGAAATAGGCCTGAACAAAAATGTGTGCTTGGGGGCACGCTTCAAGCTGAGGTGTTTATGTAAACATGTACCTTTAATGAGGGACTAGTGTCACCGTGTTGTTGCTGTTTTACACAAGAGAACCTGCACCTCCTCAACACACCCTAGTATGCTGGTAGCTGCAATACTTTACATTTTACTATGTTGAAATGGCCTGTTTTTGTTATTGAGTAATGCTGGCTGACAATTCAGTATTATCATTTTATTGGAATAGTGTTGGCATATGTTCATATAGTGTAATTCTGTTATCTAAATGTATGTATTCCAAGCAAATTATATTTAGAAACAACAAAATTAGTTAATTAAGGTTTTGTTTTAGTTGTGAATAGTTACATCTGATGTAATGCATAATAAACACCGTGAATCGAACACTGAACATCAATTTGATTATATTATAGGATTGTGCATATTATGATTTATTAATTGATTTCAGAAACTGATCATTATTTTCATTATTGATTGAGGTATCAGGCTATAAAATGTCATAAAGTAGTGAAAAATGCCCTTCCGAGAGCTCAAGTTGATGTCCGCCCATTGTTTGTTTTGTCCAACCAACAGCCCAAATCCCACAGATATTCAATGTACATGGATATGAACTGAGAAAAGACAAAAATCCAAATTTTTAGAGGTTGCAACCAGCAAAAGTTTTGAGTTTTAACTTGGAAAATTACATAAACGATTACATCAGCTGTTTTTTTTAATTACTTTCAATCAATTACTATCTGTTTATTGATTTATCAGCTAATCGTTTCAGTTGTAATATTCAACCACAAAATCACCCAGCCCCAGCATCAGAGTAACTCGTCTCCTCGCTCAGATACCCAAGGGCAGGAGGAACTGGGGAGAAAGCTGAAGATCAGAAGCGAGGTAGGAAGCAGACGGAGGGTGCACGAACAGAGGAAAAAGGAGCAATGCCTGCTCAGTGAGGAGAAAAGGGAAGAGCGATGGCAGATAGGCCCGTTTGGTGACATTCCTGTCTCTGTTGACACAGCCATTCCTTGTGACAAGAGAGAGAGCATGAGAGGAGGTGAACCTGTTGTCACCAAGCAGTGCTCAGCTACTGGTTGCTGAACGTGTACAACAACTGAGCCTTTGTTGAAATTTACCCAAGGAACATGTTTACACCTGAGAGCTTTCTGTGTGGCCAGTGATAAGCCGCTGAGGGCCGAGCACCTTGACAACAAATAGACGATCATATCATCCCTTTTCTATAAAAAAGATTTTCCAAAATAGCTTTTGAGTAACCAATTTTTTTCAAATTTGTTTGCCTGTTGTTATGTTAGGACAGTGGAATTCATTTGTTTTTGTATTTTTAGTCCCCAGTTTGTCGTTTTCTTTTAATTAGTCTCTTCACTTTGTATTTACTGCCTGTGTGGACAGTTTTCCACCTTTGTAGGCTTTACGGTGAACGCTGCCCTAGTTCTCAGTTTCCTCTTAATCTGTCCTTATTAATACAAATGCAAACCACGCGCAATGCCGAGTGTAAAGGGAACGTCTGGAATCCTAAGAATGTTTTTTAGGAGAGACAAAGGCTGACTTTGATTCACCAATCTAACCTCATTGCCAGTCAAGGAGCTTCGTGTTACACTATAACCAGCAGTCAGATAGGGTCTGTTACATTTTAATTCCTGTGAGAGTCACATCTGTAAGTGCTGTAGGAGTGGACAAAGGAAACAGACTGAGGTTAAGGTGTGACGGTGAGCTCTGTAAAGCAAAACTCAGCTTTAGCAGCGCTTAAATACAAGAAAAATGCTTTCATGTGACAGCTGTTACAGAAGTGTTTTAACAGGATTCCACATTACTTAGTACCTCCTTGCCACTGATAAAGAGACACTGAAAGGAGTGATGCTTATTAGATCGAGTACCTGCAACCAGATGGGCAATGCACAGCAGGTTTGTGCTTATGTCTGTGCACACCCTTGCGTATGTGTGTGTTTATGTGCATATGCTCGAGCCGGTGTGTGCGTGTGTGTGTGTGTGTGTGTGTGTGTGTGTGTGACTGTGACTGTGCAGCTCAAAGTAAACAGTCTACGCCTGAGTGACTCTCCTCTGAAGTCTGGTGACTGGGGAGACTCTGGCAAAGGCAGAGGGAGAGAGCGAGAGAGAGGGGAGGCCCATTCCTGACATAGCCCCCAGTGTTTAATGCTCCACAGAGCCTGGACAATAGGAGGAGTATTCACCTTCTCATAGTGTTCATCACTAAGCTCATTTTCAGAGCATATAAGGTGGACATGCTTTGGTTGTGCTGCTAACATTGTACCAAACACTGAGTTGTTTAAATTTAGTGCACAAACCAAACATTGAGGCAAATATTTTGATAATCAATTTATCTTTTCAGTCATTGCTTAAGCAAAAATGGCAAAAAATATACCGGTTCCAGCCTTTCAAATGTGAGAATTTGATCATATACAATACAACAGAA